TGACACGGTCCAGCATTGGCAAAGGAACTGTAGCCACCAGGATGTACTTCCCCTTTCGTCGACGACCATCGTCCCTTCCAACCGGATACGGTCCCACCAGGTCCATTGAAAGAACATAGGCTGAGCTGTCGGCATGCGACCTCCGATGTGGGCTGTCCACTCCTGCAAGCTCCATGCACCGACGGCAATCTCGTCGATATGGATGATGATGCGCCTTGACATGCTGCTTCCACTCCTCAACATTCAGCTTGTGGATGCGCTGAGCCAGGCATTGACTTCGTTGATGAAGATAAGCCCTCAGCGCCTCTTTGAGTGCCATCACCAAACCAGGTGCCCAGCTCGCCCAGTCCCTTGAGGCCTCCATGGATTCCTGCAGACCCTTTGGAAGCGGGTCTGTTCGCCGAGATGAATCTCTCAAGCCTTCCAACTGTTCCACTCCAGGCAGGTTCCCAAGGATCGTAGTTGGCTTCCTTCGGGCATGCCCCATCTGGGATTGATCGAAGCTCACCAACTTCAGGCCCCCCAGTCCGACCATCTCCTTCATCTCAGGGAAGTTCCAAAAGGACGGAAGGTTGTGTGCCGCCTCAGCTCCCAAGTAGGCCATAGGATCCTCTGGAGATTCCAATGCAAAAGCCGTGGGAAGCGATTGAAGCTCTGGAACCTGCATGCGCTTCTCCTCAGCCTTGATAAAGAGTCCAATCTGCTTGAAGAGCAGGGCTGTGTCAGAGTTGACCCGGTGAAGGTCCCAGGTTGAAAGACCTTCCAGGGAAAAACGCCATCCATCTCGCCCCCTCAATGGTGGCGGTCCCGGCTGGCGTTGCCTCAGCCTTGAAGTCGTGCGACAAGGTGGGCCACCCAGGATCGCGGCAATCTTTCCAGCACAGGCCAACTCCCAAATGAAGGCCCAAATCGATGCCTCATGTAGATCAACTCCTTGGAGAGTGTCAATGGTGAGGACAACATAGCCCTCCTGTTCAAGCTCAGCCCACTGCTTGGAGTTCCGACCAGAGAACAAGTGCAGGATGACTCCACGAGAGCGCCATAGCCTTCGTCGTCGATGACGGTTCCAAGGCAGGCTGGCAGCATGATCCCGCCATGAATCGCCCTGCCCCTTCATAAACTTCCAGACTGAAGATGGCACCTGTGGAAAGCGATTCGTCCACCAATTGAATTCATCATCTCTGACTTCAACATCGTTCTGCTGCATCTTCTCCAAGTCGGCCAGCAGATCCAGACCCTCAGTTCGAGGCATCACAGGGCAACCACCCCTCAAGCTGCACTTCAATGGCCCCCGTGTTGGATGATGGATCACAATGCTATCTCGGCGCCAGGTGATCCTGTAGTCAGCCGCCACCAGCCATGCCAAAGGGATGATAGGCTCCACCGGCCCCTTACTGAGCAAGGTCTGATGCTTGGGGTGCTTGTAGAGCACTGTTGACCCACAAGCCAGCTCCACCTTCGTGGCAATCAGATCCGGCTCCTCCTCGGGCTTAGCCTGTCGAAGCCCATGAGTGGCACCTCCATCCAACAAGGCATACTCACCAGGCCCACCAAAGTTCCCTTCTCCCACGGACTTCATCCGCACGGCCTTCAAAGACCTGATGGACTTCAGGAGGCTTGTAGCTTCTCGCATCAGCTCTGCTGCCGCCTCTGTTGAAGGCTCACCCATTGGCTCCGTCGTGGTGGAGTCTCCACCCTGGGTCCCCTCCGAAGCTCCACCAGAGGCTGTGTTGGTCACCTCCTTGGGCTTCAGATCATCTCCATCAACTGTCTTCAACTTCTGAGAGTCCCCGGCGGAGCCTTTCACAGCCGGCTTAGGCGTCGCCTTCACCTTGGAAACCTTCTTGGGTTGTAGGCCATCACCCATCGGACCACCCGATGGAGTTGAGGTAGAAGTCGAAGTAGATGAGGTTTTGGCAGTGCAGTCCTTTCGAAGATGCGCCGAGCTCCCACAATTGAAGCACCGACCCTTCATGTCAGACGTCTCGTGAAGGAACGTGCACTGTGCCCCACGTTTGCACCCTTCAGGGGTCTTCCAAAACTTGCATGGAGACTTCGAAGTAGTCCCTGTAGGCGCACTCGTCGTCGACGTTGGCACCTCCAACCCAGCCATAGCCTTCAGTGACGTGGCCCCCTGAGCTCCAACCGTCGTGGCCTTCAAGCCAATCCCAAGGCTCAGCTCCTCCGCCTCAGACTGAAGGTACTCAGCGTACTGCTCGATGGATGGGGCCATAGGCCTGATGTCCACTCCAAGCTTCTGCCTCACCGAAGCCACTCGGTATGCCAGCTGCGTGCCACCAAGCCTTCCCAACGCATCTGCAAAGCGGTGCAAGACTCCACCCAAGATGACCGGATCCGGCAGCGCTAGATTCAACTCCAACGACCTGCTCATCAATCTTCTCCACCTTCGAAGTCCACCCAGCAAGTCCGGTGCGCCAGCTGCCACCTTTGGCTCCGTGAGCTGCTTGAGGATGCTCACCCTTTCTCACCCTTTCAGAGCTCCCACCCGGTTGGAAGATAGTCCACAGCCTGTACATGATGCCTGTCACCGTCATAGTTCGGCTGGCAATCAAGTCCTGCTTGATGAGCTCCGGGATGCACTTCAGCAGCATCGGCACCACCCTCTGCTCCAAGCGTAGGTGCACCTCAGAGCGCTGGATCTCCAAAGGTCGAAGTCGGATCCTTTCCAAGGGAGTCGATGTGAGCCACCGGTCATAGAGGTTTGAGGCTTCCCTCAAGATTTCACTCCACCACCCACGGGCTGATCCAGCAACATCTCCAATCATTGGAGTGACCACCGTGATCCAGTCTCCAAATTGTAAGGCCGACTGCTCTGAACCTGGCTGTGGAAGTAGAGGAAGATCAGAGCCTCTCAGCTGCTCCATAGGCGATGCAGCTCCTTGTTGTTGATCTGGTCCTCCAAGTCCAGGGGGTCTCACTACCGAGGTAGTTCCTGATGTACCACCACCTCCAAAAGACGCCATAGGGCCTGAGGCATTCCAATCACCAGTGAATTGACCACCACCGTGTGGCCCAGCAGCGTACCCTTGTGAGTTCGCCGTTGATCCCATGCCCCCACAAAGTCCACCAGCATGAAGGCCACAGTAGGAAGCACCTGCTCTGCCATGAAGTCCAGGAGATTGGCCACCAGGAATTCCAGGTGAATGCACTGCCATCGGTGACACCGGTTGGCTCCAAGTGATCCCACATCCTTGACCAACACCTTGTGCACCATGTTGATGTCCATCCAATCCAACTTGACCACGTTCAGCAAGATGAGAAGGTGCTAGGTGTCCAGCGGGATGCATAGCCAGTGAAGGTGTAGTTGCCGACCCCTGCAAGGCTGGCATCGGAGGCACCGACCCTGTAGTCGCACCAGCTCCACTTGAGGCTGTATGGTAGGACCGAATCTCCCCACCTTCACCTTCTTCTCCACGAAGTTTCTTCGCCTCTCTAACGAAGCTCTCTTCGGCCTCCTTCATGATGCGCAGTCTCAACTCCTCGACAGACTTCTCTGGGGACGGTTGAGACAACGTCCCAATGGCCAAGGCCTGCCCAGGACCTGCGCCATTCATCGTCCCTTGGGCCTGCCCAGGACCCCCATGTAGAGCTCCTGCACCAAGGGCCTGCCCAGGGCCTCCATGTAGAGCTCCAGCACCACAGGCCTGCACAGGGCCTCCATGTAGAGCTCCTGCGCCAAGGGCCTGCTCAAGGCCAGCACTACCGCAAGCAGCCTGCCCAGGGCTTGCACCGGAATGCCCATGTCCAGCAACCCCACAGCCAGCAGGGCCAAACGTCACAGGTGCCCCTGCAAGAGGCGGCAAGGATTCTGGTCTTGCCACATCAGCGACCTGTTCCAGAACTGCAGCTCGCTGAACTCCAGCGCTCCAAAAGGCGTTGACTCCAGGAGGCACTGCCATCACCCCAGCGCCACCTCGCTCTTGGCCAAACAGGCCAGTAGATGCCACCAGCAAGGACGTCCCATCACGGTGCACGAACCCTTGTTCCCGGCCAGCATCACTAGAAAGGTTCCGAGCCAGCTCCAAACCAGCTCCAGCAGCGCTAGGTCCTCCATGAAGCCCTCGTTCAGCTGCCACGGCAGGGCGAATGTCATCATCTTCGTCCAGCCTTCGTCGAAACACCGTCTGAGCTTCATCCTGCCCAGACTCATGAAACAGCGGAGCAAGAAGGCCATCAGGTCCTAGAGGTTCTGCATCAAGTTGGAGTGAGGTCACCTGCCCTTGTGGTCCTTCAGTTCCACCTTGTCCACGACCTTCATCTCGTCGTGGCTCTGGTGTCGAAGCGGCCACGTCCCCCTCAGTCACCTTCAGTCGTCGGACCTCGGGCACTTGGGGAGCCTCCAGCTTTGACCTCCTCTCCATCTCGATCAGCCTATCCAAGCGCTGATCTGCCGTCTCGTGGTGCTGCCGGCGCCTGCGCTCCATTACGGCACCGCACACCCAAGCCAGTGAAGGCTTGGGCTCATAACCTGCGAAAGGCAGGTGCAAAAGTCTGCCCTTTTCTTGAGCCATGTGCAATCAGTAAGATCCTTGTGCAGGGGCCATGCTATGAACGGTCGTCCAAACTGCATGCCATGTCCTACAGTAGACAGCACTTCTTGATTTGTGCGTGTCATTCTTTGAAAACGGCACCACAGTAACAAATGCATATAGATGTTCAATACAGATGTTCAAATGTGTTCAAATGTGTTCAAATGTGTTCAGATGCTTCATTTATATTCATTAAGATCCGTCTTCGAAGATGTTGCATCTCGGCTTTGCCATCATCAAAAATCCCCTGTTTTCAAAGTATACTTTGCTATTCGGTGCAGACTCACATGATCTCACATCAATCTCTTCGACCAACTAGCAGTAACTAGCACCAATATCGAGCAATTCGAGCAATTCGAGCAATATTCAGAAAAGCAATGGTGTCAAAATGGGTCTATCTTCCCTTGAAGCTCTACGTGTCTAGGTTTGTGAAGTCTCAGCTGTCCAAGCCTGTAGACACCACCAAAGCAGAACCAGTATTTGGGTGCACGAGGAATCCTGCAATGGTCCTCATCAGAAGCTCTTTGTTGTTCTGCACTTTGCTTTCACCTCATTGCACATATTCCGCCACTCATTCTGCCGTGAAACCTTTGCACCCAAGCCCACTAAACCAGCCCGGGGACGCCCATTCCCAGCCAAGAAACCCTCGTTGTGCGCCACTGCAACAATTCCATCAATGTTATCATCTGAACTTCCGGAACTTTGCAAAGTTGCCTCCAAAGCCCGCACGAAGCTGGCAGAAGATACAGTCAGTCCGATCAGCACGACCTGGGCGAAGAGATCACCACAGAACAAGGTTCAGTGATGGTTCACGAAGCTCACAACAGTCTGACGGCTTTGGATGGGTTTGGGAGATTTTGGGACTTCCCTTTCTAACAGAATCAACAGCATTCTTGCATTGTTTATCAGTTTTTTTCCTTCTTGTGTGTTTGAGACTGTGTGTGGTCTGCAGAACCCTTGGTGGCTGCAAATCCAAATTCACAATGCTGCGCCTTGTTTCGAGTTCCTACTCCACGGCCTCCAGTCCTGCCGAAACTGTTTTTAAAACTCGATCAAAAAGGCTGCATGTCAGTGTGGAAATGGAGAAATATCAGCTCAAGAGAAGTCAATGCTACATGCATTGGGAAGTCAGCCGCTGGACAAGCCTGGCAAAACCCTGAAAGGTACCAGGTAGGTCACCATCGATTGAGTCTGCCTGGCCAGAATCACAACTGTTAGTGGCAAGTTACACTCCAAATTGCAACTATCATTGGACTATCATGTTTCAGAAAGTTTATCAACCACTGACAAATAGCAAGAAAAATTGCGAGGGAATTGCTGTGAGAAGGCAGTGTGACTAGAGAAATACCTTGCCCTCACCACAGCTCCCTGGTTCTCTCCCTCTCTCTGTCTAGGAATGGAGCCTTTGTCAAACGGAGTATGATGGAGTATCAAATATACGTAAGATTGCATAAGAAGCCGCAACAAAGCCTGAAAGTGTCTGAAAGTTGCATTTCCAGCAGTCCCAGCCTGCTTTCCGGCAACAAATGCACTTTCGTCGAACTGATAGGGGCACCTCGGCTGAGAGTAACACCTCAAAGAGTTGAGAAAATGGGCTTTGACTTTGGCGTTTCCTCCAAGGAACAAAGCATTTTAATTTGCAGCTTGCAACCGCTTGTGCCGCTTGTGGCAATGAAATCAAAGCTGAGACGCGATGCTGAGGTGTCCGGGTCGCTGAAGTTTGGCTCTTCGGGCAGCTTGAAATGGACATCTCTCCTCCCTTTCAAAGCCTGGAAGTTTGCATTTTTCGATTGGAACTTCAAACATTGGATTGCACGGTAGCTTGGCAGAACTGTCTCAGTGGATGCCTTCAACATCAACGTATTGCAGCAGTATTCGCCCTGTTGTATAGGGCGCAAGGCACATCCAAACGGCAGGGACCAACTCATCAAGTTCTCACCTGCAAATGCACCCTGCAAAGGTGCAAATCTCTAACTGAGAGGATGAAAGGATTACACACAGTATGAATTGGCTCTGACTTGATAGAGTCTAGACTAGAGATAAGCGAATAAGCTGCAAATCATATGTATCTCTTGCCTTTGGCAATCCTCTCGATTGCGAAACGATGGCCCTCCAGAATAGTGTGGGAGAGTCTGTAGACAGAACCTCCAAACATTCCCAAGGCAACACACAAGGATCACAGGAAATATGACATGCCGCCACTTCTGTGTAGATTAGGCGTTTCACATGATGTAGTCATCATGTGACATTGGCCAGCGGCCAGTCTGTGCTTGATATGCTTCGTGTGCTCCCCATGTTTAGATCAAGAAGCCCTTCCAAGAGAAGCGAGTGCCCTGCGGCAAACAGCTAGTGGCTATTGCGCAGTTGTCGCTGGGATTTGCCATTGTGGCGATTTTGTCCAGCGGTACTTCCACTTCCTGCGCTGTCGAGGAAAAAGACGAGAAGGACACCAGGTCTATCAATTGCAGCTGCGACGGCAACAAACAAACAGCAAGAGCAAGCGAACACCAGCATGAAAGCAGTACATACTGGCAGCGATCTGTTCATCAAAGCCACTCAATAATCCGAATGTCACCGAATGCTTAGCTATGGGAAATGCCTTTGGGCATGAAGTTCTGAAACTTTGACAACAACATGTCCTCTCCACAGTTCTTCACCTGTACCCTTTGATTCCTGTGACTGCCTAAGAATCAGTGACTCACTTACCGAAATAACAAAATGCAGAGCGACCGGGACCAATGCAGCCAACCATCCAATGGGTGCTGGAAGCTCAGGTCCCACTCTTACAATTCATTTTGTAGCTACATCACGCGCCATGCTGCAAGCCAACCACACAATGTACGGAGCGAATGAATTCATCGGCAAGTAAAAAGCAGTACGCAATTCATTGCCAACATTGCCATGACATTGGAACTGGGATCGAATCAAGCCTTGACACTAGGAATATCTTTAAACTTTAAATGCGTTTAAGTTTCGAGGGAAACAACCATATGCTAAGATCAAAATCCTACAGCGGGCATTCTTACCATGGTTATAGCCATCACAGCCATAAGCACGCACACTCAATAATTTACTATTGAAGAAATCCGCCCGCACCGAAGGTGCTGGGGCGTGATCTTCCGGATGGCACTCGTAAAAGGTTACAGGTTTACCTGGGGAGGGGGGGTCCCATTTTTCGGCCAAAACCTCCTGTTTTTGATAGGTCGTGACGCTCGCCTTCAAAAAACACTGTAAAAAACAGTACGGAAGACACGGACTGATATTCGTCGTTTTGTGATAGCAGAAACACTGGTTTTTACAGTGTTTTTCTGTTTTCTGCATGCTTGACGGCCAGCTTCAAAACTTCCAAAAACCTCGTAAATTACGCTGTTTTATGTTGCGGTGTGAATGAAAACATCGTAAATACCAGTGTTTTTTGACGTTGGTTAAAAAAACCCTCCAAATTACAATGTTTTTGGCCACCTGACCCTCAAAAACCATGGTATTTGCAGTGGTTTCTGCTTCGCACCGCGCAAAAACACTGTAAATAACAGCAATTTCGCCGTTTTTTCATGTTTTTCGTTATTTTTTTAACTGCGTTGGTCCGCTATACATGGCTATCAACTTCTTCGCGTTTTTTTTTCCGACAATCAGTACTTTCGGATGTTTTTGGTCTCAATGGCCGACATCATTGGCAGTTACGAGCGGCTGCCCAACGATGCGGTGCGGGCGGTTGCCGTCGCGAAGCGACGTGAATAAGAAACCGAAAAGCAATATATTCATCATTATTATCATCACCATTGTCACCATAATCATAATCCTAATCCTAATCATAATCCTCGTCCTCGTCCTCATCCTCGTCCTCGTCCTCCTCCTCCTCCTCCTCCTCCTCGTCGTCGTCGTCGTCGTCGTCGTCGTCGTCGGCGTCGGCGTCGGCGTCGGCGTCGGCATCGGCGTCGTCGTCGGCATCGGCGTCGGCGTCGTCGTCGTCGTCCTCCTCATCATATCATATCATATCATTTCATTTCATTTCACATCACCATCACCATCATCATCATCGTCATCATCATCATCGTCATCATCGTCATCATCGTCATCATCGTCATCATCGTCATCATCGTCATCATCATCATCATCATCGTCGTCGTCGTCATCGTCCTCGTCCTCGTCCTCGTCCTCGTCCTCGTCCTCGTCCTCGTCGTCGTCATCGTCGTCGTCGTCGCAGTCATCGTCGTCATCGTCGTCATCGTCTTCATCATCATCATCATCATCATCGGCATCATCACCGTCATCGTCATCATCATCGTCATCATCATCGTCATCATCATCATCAGCATCATCATCATCAGCATCAGCATCATCAGCATCATCATCAGCAGCAGCATCATCAGCATCATCATCATCATCAGCATCAGCATCACCATCATCATCTTCATCATCATCATCATCATCAGCATCATCATCAGCAGCAGCAGCATCACCATCAGCATCATCACCATCAGCATCATCAGCATCATCATCATCAGCATCATCATCATCATCAGCAGCAGCATCATCATCATCAGCATCGTCATCATCATCATCAGCATCATCATCATCATCATCAGCATCATCATCATCAGCATCATCATCATCATAATCATTCTTCTTCTTCAGCTCATCCGACCTCCATCTTATCTCATCACCGTCATCATCCTATCACGGTCATCATTCAATGCCTATCACAGTCAGGATTGTCATCACACCCTACATACCTCGCCCAAACGAATTTCGATTATAGCATGCCGCAGACACCAGCGGAAACCATGTACATGCAGGAGTTCGTCAGCAACTTCTGCAATTCAGGCATCGCGCATCCAACACATCACAACAAACGCATCGCGGCCAATGCAACTTTCATCAGTCAACTTAGTTTTCAGACAACAAAAAGTCCTCGGCTTCATAGGCAATGCCAGTGCGAGGGCGGGGTTTGGAGCCATGGGTTCCATTTTGGCCATTCTGGCCATAGCCCGTCATGACTTGTTTTGTGAGATTTGAAAAAGCGAATATATGAACTATTATATACTGTAGATCACTGTGTTGTCTCAGACTCCCAGCATAGAATAGAATGGAAAGGTTCAGTTTGATTGCACTTTCCTCATGAAGTTGCTACCATGCTTTTAGGCTTTTGTGGTAGTAGCCTCACCCATGTTACGGTGCCGGAGTGGAATGCCATCGTTTGCGACCATGTTTCTCCGATGAGGCTTCAGCAGCTTTGGAACTTGAGTCGTTCCAGACAAGCTCTAACATCCGCAAAATCAGAGAAGAGTCTAGGTATGTCCAGGTTTCTAAACGGTTTCTGAGGATAGTGTGGTCTTGTCCTTTGTTGAAGTCCCAATGACTGCTCCTCACTTCTTCCAGACCAATTTGATCGCACTTCCTTGCCTTCTTCTCTCTCCTGCCAGGAGGTTGGTACTAGTGCGAGCTGAACACTTGCGTCACTTGCTGCATGTCACAAGTACAATCCTGCAATGTCCGCTCCTTTGCATGCTGACTGCTTCGCACTGTCGAAAAAATAATGACTCGACGCTCCTTCGCGACAAGAGGGTGTCATTTTTTGGCATTCTAAGACATGTTTTTTTTGACACAGCCTTGCTTGACCTATCTTGCTAAACCAAGATAGAGCATAAAGAAAACTAAAGATTTTGACGCTCACTGTGCGTCTTTCAGCTTTCATCTGTTCCTGACCCTGAAAGTGCTCCACGGTCCCCACGTCAATTTCAGAGAACTGGAAACCTGCATATGCGAAGATGTGTGATGGAAAGCACAAACACGCAAGCACATCGCGTGACACAGCAAAAGGCAAAAGAGCAGAAACAGTCATAGTGTAGAGCCCCAAACTTTGTGCTATAAGTTAAGTGTAGACAAAATTGGCTCTCCCAGCAAATCATCTAAGATGGAGTCCAGCAGGTGTCCGTCAAAATGTCAGTATGATTCAAATACCACGCAAATGTGCACAAACTGCTTATTGATAGAAATGCAATCACACTGCTTAAATGATCTTAAATGTTTGAGGCAGTTTGTGAAGCAAGTTTGCATGTATTGCCATTGCCAGTTCGCAAAGCATTGCAGTACACCAAACACAATGAGCAGCCACTTTCAGTCATGTGGTTGCAACTAAAATGCTGCAAGTGGTTGCTTCACTAAGCGTACATCCATACGGTAAACATGCGCTCTGTGTCCCAATTCGTAGGTCTCCTGCTTCATTCTGCTTCTGTGCTCAGAACCGGACTCACAGCGCAAATCTGATCTTTGAGCAGCTGCACCTGCAAGGACCAAACCCATCACTGCTGTACATGCAAGAATTACTGCAAGACGTTTCTGGCAGAATTGTTACACACAAGTGTGCAAAGTACAGATTTTATGCACATACCTTTCTCGCGCTGCATCAAGATTGTCTGTGTTGAATGCCCAGACACAGAAAGTGCATTCTATCCAGCCTGCCGTGCATAAGGAGTAATGATGCCAATGTCTTTGGGCGAGAGGAGCGGCTCAGAATCTTCGCCTGCTGGGAAAATATATTCCTTTGTCACATTCTGCTTTTTGGCTGCACAATCGGTCTAATCTGCATCCCCATCATCATCATCATCATCATCATCATATTAAATAATACAAAATAATGATCAGCTGTGCCAGCGTACATCAACGTACCAGCAGTACATACATTCGGCATCTTGCAGTCACTGTTTGCGAAACCTCTTGCCTCAAATTGCCTCTTGTACACATTTGTCTGTCGCATACATCCCTTGTCCGCCCCAAAGATCAATTGAAGTTTTGAGAGCCTCGAGCATCCAGAAGATCTTGCACATAGCGCTGGATGACTCGTATCTGCCGTGTTGAGTTGGTATGACGAGGAAAGCAAAGTTTGTGCCCATCGCGACCAAAACCCATTGCGACAAAAGCTTGAAGAGAGGAGACGTACAGTATGGATTTCCAAGTAGTACCAAAGCGAAACGCCGTGAAAAAAATCACCTCTTCAAGATTGTAGAGAGAAGCAGAGTTCGCATCGCAACCTCAAAAGACAAAGAGACTAAGACCACAAGACCATACAAAGCAGCAGGCCAGGACATACGACGTTCAGCAGTCCAATAGATATGGGATGATTGGGCATGACAAGACACATGAATGAAACCACTCATGCTTTTTGCAGATCCTCCAAATGTACATTCTCTGTTCCTTGATGTTCCGTGGTAAATTTCACTTGATTCCTTTCTGTGCTAAGCTTCTTTCAAAAGAAGTCTAAGATACCAACGCTCTGCGCCTACCACATTGTGCAAAACCACTGGATTGTCGCCTCAAATTCCCAATTGCTCACCAGCGCTTCACTAAGACTTTCCAGACCTGAAACCTTTCGAAACAGTTTCCACAAACTTTCTGTGTCACTGGCAGCTGGCAGCTGGCCGACAGCATCTGAAAATATCTAAACCCTCTAATAGATCATTTAAACCTATGCCGAAAATAAGTATTACATGACTAGTGTTGACTCATATCAGTCGTCGCTGAAAAACTGCAAAGCTACTGTCAAGAGGTTGAGAAATGACAGGACAGAACAATACTTTCCCTGAGACTGAGACCCGCACTGCCAAGCGAATGAAAGAACGGCATCAGCCTGCTTCTGTTGTCAAAAACAAGGCAATGCTGGTGATGCCGGTGATGCCCGTGATGCCCGAGCTTCAGCTCAACTGATCATACTTCAGCTGCTTCAAACGCATCGAACTGAATGTCATTACTTGATTCAGTTTCAAAATCGTTCAAAATGTGTCTTAAGTATCCGTCTGCAAATGTTGCTAATTGCATACCTTATATAACTAGTATAACTTAACTCATGCACTGAGCACGCAAAAGATCAACACGCTGGATCTACAATAGGCTGAATTCAAACACTGGATCTCCTGTGCTGGATCTCCCTGTCACGGTGTTCTAGTTGGCCAGCATAGAACACCTGCCAGCAGTTTCTCCACACCCCAAACTGTCTAAGCTGTCTGGCCGGAATGATGTGTCGCCCAGCAGAATGCCACTGTCGCGCAGCAAAGTGTCTCTCTTTGAGGTCCAAATCACAATGCTTCGCATTTTGCCACAGCACTCGTTGGTCCAGGCACTCTCAATACTGACAAAGGCACCAGACAAGTGACACAGAGTCAGCATTGAGGCTTCCCCAGCCAAAGTTTAGAGACTTCCAACTTGCGTAATGTACGAGATAACGGATAAGCAGATGAACTCTCTCTGGTTGACAAATCCGTGGTGTGCTGAAAAAACACCATTTTTGCTTTTGGCTCACCGAGACAGCACATTGGCCGCTTTTTTGAAGTGCTGACTGTGGAAGCAAAGCTGTACATTCTTTGATGCATCTCTGTCCCTGTTCAACGGATGTTGAAGGCACAATATGAGATCAAGGATTCCAGCACTTGTCGTTGCAGCCTTAGAGTATGCATGGCAGAATATTCAATTCTCTGGCTGTGCAGCTATGCTGATCAAACTGCAAACCAGACAGTAACATCAAGCAACAATATTCACAGAATCTTATGACATAGATATTGTAAAAATATAGGTAAGATTAACATAGATTAACCCATGTTCCCCCTTGTGGCCATAGATTAGCTATAATGGGTTGTAAACGTTGCAACCGTTGCAACCGTTGCAACCCTGCAAAATGTGGCAACACGGTCGATCCTTCTCGCCTTGAAGGATGCACCCCTCGCAACTCCTTGTATGTGTGCTTCGCCCACACGGCGATACGCATTGGAGCAGCACCTGCCACTGTAACTGTAACTCACTACCCATGCGGCCCATGCTGCCCATGCGACTGGCAGTGCAATTTGCAGAGGCAACTGGCAGTGCTCAGCAAATTGTCAGCTGCAGCCAAGGAGCACAACTCACCAAATGGGACAAGCAGTAGTTGCAGTTTTGCGATAAGTGTTGGAACGCCACACACCTGCCACAGCCAATGCAGGGTCAATGCAGGGGACAAGTAGAATCACATTGGATGATCCCTGTTGGAATATAGGGGGAGGGTTTAGGCTCGAAGTTTGTAGAATTAATAGCGCCTGCCCAAGAGGCCACGCTACAAAATACAATGTCCAGCCAAACACAGTTCGGTACAAAATGTAAAACCAAATTAGTGGGCACCACTACAAAATACAACCATGCCCAACATGAATATCCGGTACATTTTTTCAGGGGGTGTTACTACTTGCAATTTGAATTTTGTAGCGCAACCTACCGCCCCCATGAGATTTGCATTTTGTAGTGGGAACATGGTTCAGCCGCGTTCAGCTGACAAATTGCATTCAATTCAACCATATCCATCCATTTTGCACTTTGGAGGAAAAAAAATGCGTGCAGAAACATTTTGGAGAGCCATGTAGAGGCCTCTCAAGAAGAGGCCCCAAAAAATGAACGTTTTTAGGCAGACACTTTTTTTTTTGGAACGATATGCCGCTCAAATTGAGCCACACATCCGCAGCAGCGGGCCCTAAGCTGGTTACTTATTTCAATTTTTGGGGGCTAGACAAACCCATTGCTCGCGATTTTCTGTAATTGGTAACAAAAGATGAAGGAAACGGGCTCCTTCGAAAGAAGGGGAAGAAATTGTATGGAGGGAGTGAAAAGGATTGAACATGAGAATAGATTCTGCTGAGGATGGGTGACGGAGGATATGACCAAGGCATTTTGATTCGGGAGTCGGAAATACGCATGGAAGAGGGAATGCACCATGGGAGGACAGGATATGCAAGTGAAAGGAGGAATTCGTTGGAGCAGGGAGAATCAGCGGGTGAAAGAACACGGTGGTAGCAGAGGCTCTTAATTTGGAAAAATTGTCGAAGTGCTTTGTAATGGAGGCTGTCAATTTTTGTAATTTGTGCTGGGGAGTAGATTTGAGATTCGGAGCCGTGGAGAAGGATGGACTGGACGATTTGGGTATAGACCCGGAGCTTGAATCTCTGAGATATAAGTGGGTGTCGAAAGAATGGATCAACTGTCTTGAAGGCGGAGGAGGATTGAGAACAACGAAAGTTGACGTCTGAAATTGACGATGAGGTAGGAGTGATGTATGAGCCGAGATATTTAGCACTGGTGAGTGGAGCAAGGGGAACATCAAGAGATGAGGGAGTAGTGTAGAAGAAGGGAGCACAGTGGGGGTAGTTGCATTGAGTGTCGGAATCGGCGACAAGTGAGAGGGAAACTGGAAGAGTTGCATGGTGGATTGTGGAAGTTGACATTTAGATCCATTGAGGTGAAGACCAATTCTTGCTGCTAAATGTTGGAGAAGATGTAAAAGGCGGCAAAGAGTACCATTGGTCCGAGCGATGAGAAGTGTGTCGTCGGCATATTCAACATCTGTAAGTGGGTGTGTGAATGAAAATGTCCAAGGAGTATTGGAAAAATGAGTGGAGATCAGTCAGGGCTGAAACAATGGTAATAAAGAGATAGAGAGGGCATCCTTGTCTGATGCCTCTGGAGAGAAGATATGAGGAAGAGTCGCAAGTGGGATCGGTAACTAAAAACTTGGCATTATGGTAGAGTGCCATAACTGCCCTTGGACGAGTAAAGGGGGGATACCATATCTGCGGAGGGCTGCCGCAAGGTGTTGGTGGCCAATGGAGTCAAAGGCTTGTGACCAGTCCAGAAAGAGGATATACAAGGAAGTGGAATGACGTTCGAAAATCTCGGTGAGTCGCCTCAAGAGGAAAAGTGGGGTGGAGAGAGGGCGTTGCCCTGAACCATATTTGGTTCGGGTGGAGGAGATAGTCAATGGAATGGGACAGGCGTTGTTGGATCATACAGGCAAAGACTTTGTAGATAGAGTTGGCAAGAGAAATGGGGCGATAGCTGGAAGGAGATCTGCTGTTCTTTTGATTGCCTTTATAAATCACAACTACGTTACTGAGGTTCCCATGGTCAGGGGCAGTGCCCAACAGGAGACAATCATGTAAGCGAGGAGGTATTTCTTGACAGGGTGTGGAAGGAGCCGTAATGTTTCCATGGGGAGGTTATCTGGACCTGGAGCATGTCCAGTTTTGGTGCGGCGGAAAGCACGATAGAGTTCGAACATTGTGAATGAAGCATCGAGGTCTGGTTGTGGGGGAGCAATGGGATCTTCGATTGGGTCGGGGAGGGTTTTAGAATTCCAAACATTATCGAAGATGCTGGGCGAGGATCTGTGATTTTTCAGACTTAAGATATGGAGTACCGTCGGGTTTGTTGACTGATTGGGTACGGGGTTGATATTTTGAGCGGATTCGTTTGATAGTTTTCCAGTGGTCTGATGGAGATCCTATGTAATCGAGGTGGGGTCGAGGTTGAAGTGGAGAAAGTATGGCATCTAAAAATCCATCTGAAAAGCCTGTAGGGAGCAGTAGAGAATCTTGGTGAAGGGATTTGTCCTCAATGGCATCAACGGCAATGAGGGCTGATGATGCAACTAAGATGTCCCAAGGGATGGATGCAACTCTTGCGGGTGGATGTCTGGGTTCTCCTTGAAGGAAATCTGCCAGTTGTCCATGATGGTCTTCTGGTTGTACCTGATGAACTTGCCGATGTTTTCTGAGTACCATTGGCATACAAAGAGGTGGTCAGCGAGGAGTCTCTCATTGATAGGGTATCCTGAGTTGGTGAATTCTGCTTGATCTTCCTGAAAGCCAGGGAGTTTGTATGGTAGTTTGCCTGGATGTGGAATTGGTAGCCAGTCATCAATCCTGGAGTCGAGGTGGTAGAAGAGAACGAAGTATAGTGGCCAATCTTCAAAGTTAAAGGAGTCAAAGTCCAGCTGGCTGTACTTCATGGGGAGAGATTTTGTAGATTTCTTGAAGTAGTAGACACAGGAATCTTCTTCAGCAATTTCAAGCTGGTGGGGGTAGAGGTCAAACTGGAGGATCATTGTCCTTCAAAGGAGGATGGCAGGATTTGTTGATGGAAGTTCTTCTCATTCTTGATGAACTGGAGATGGAATTGGCATAGTGGGCATTGCCCTTGTCCAAGGAGTTGAGAGCATTGATTTCCATCTTGGGGGATACCTGGTCACCAATGGTCAAAGATTGGCATGGAGACCTCAGAGTTGGAGGTGTCTGGTAATGGGGCTTGATCACAAGTAAAGCACTGTTGATTGGTTGCAAGGAGACAACTGCAGGAGGTACACATTGTAGTTGGCTTTGGTTCTGAGATTGGTTTGACGACTGGTAGTTGTTGGAGTCCTGGCTGTAGAAAGTGGTAGGTCTGGGTCTGCCTTTTCCCGTTCGGTATGTGGATCCTGGGGGTCCTGAATCAGAGTTGTCATCATATCTTCTTCCATAGAAAGTTTGATCAGGGGATCTATCTGAGTAGGAGCCCTTGGGTTTACCCTGGGATTGTTTTCCCTTGTTGGATTGAGTACCTTTTGAAGAAGCAGTGCCTCGACCTTTGGACTTGGAGTTCTTACCAAAGGAGCCTGTGTCATCTGGTAATGATGAAAGAGCTGCTGAGTAGTTTTTGATAGGCCAAGTGCACCTTGTAGTGGAAGCTGAGGATGCGCTGAAAGGAGGTTGGCAAGGGACTGCGACATGTCTGAAAAGGATGGGATAGGGGGAAGTTGATGATGGAAACTTGGCTTTGTCATAGGAGAATCTGTAAGTTGTAGTTCTGTCGATAGCTGCTCTGGAAAGTGCCTGGATGAGCTTGTTGGTCTTGTCCATGTTGGAGTCAAATGTTGCCTGCCAGTTGGATTGAATATCTTCGAGGTACCGGGAGGTGACAAAGATGACACAAACATATCTTCTTGGAAATCTGAGGTGGAGGATGTAGGATACCTGGGCCAATAATGAACTGGAAGGGGCATCTAGGGTGTTGATGTCGCTCTGGAGCTGGCCTCTGGGGCCTTTCTCTTCCTCTGGTAAAATGTTCCTGAAGATCTCAAGCAGGGTGTAGAAGGGCTGTTTGGCAAGTCGATCACCGGCGTTAGAATCTGGTTCAACTTTGACTTTGCACTTCTTCTGCTGGAATCCCCCATCTAGTCTGTTCTGCTTGACATGGGTGAAGAACTGTGTTCTTTGGTTCTCGGTGAGGAATTCAAGTCTGAGGATGCCGGAGGCTGTGTCGATGATATGGCTGTTCATGGAAAAATAGATTCAAAAGGTACTTTGGCTAGTTCACAAAAGTATTTGAGGTTCCAGTCGAGGTTGTTCTTGGTGAATCCAGCGGCTGGTAGTCCTCGAAGTAGGAGAGATTTGTTGGCAAGCTTGGCCTTGATGGTCTTGATTCTGGGGTCCATTGAGTCCATTTGAATCTGGGTTTAGTACTGCTTGAGGATGGTGTTTGAGTAAAATTGTTTGCAAGCTTCAAGCATGAATCGATGATTGGGTAGGAAAGTGGTTTGGTGGTACTGGAGCATGGCATCCTTGATCTGAGCTTCTTGAATCTCGAGCGTTGGGGTTTCTACTGATTGCAGGTCTGTACATGGTATCTTTTTGGTGACGTCAATCTTCTCAAGTTTGCCTTTATCAGAATCATAGTGAAGAGCATCGGGTGTAGTGATGTTAAGAGCAAGAAAATCTGCTCTGGCTTGAGGTGAAGCTCGTAGTGCTGTTGAAGTCCAAAATCAGAGAGCTCGCCATCCTTGGCTGATAGTGCTGAAAGAAAATCGTCCCATCCTTGATCTGTTCGAGGTTTCTTTTTACGAGAGGAAGTTCTTGTAGCAGCTCGGTGCTTCTTGATGAGTTCCATTTCTTCAGGTGTGAGAGTCTCAGTGGTAGAAGATGCTGGGGCCGAAGCTGGCGGTGGTAATTCAGGAGGAACAGGTAGTTCTTGGGATTCTTGAGCATCTGGCTGCTTCATCTCCATGGCTTCAATAGGGAATTGCTTCAATAAAATGTGTAATGTAAGTAGGAGTGGAACATAAAGAAAGCATAGGGCACAGCCCAGTCAACATGTGGAAAATGAAACTCAAAAAGCTTGAGGGGAAGGGAAATGACAACAGAGATGTTGGGGCATGCAGTACCAATGTTCATGACAGCATTTCTGACTGTGTGGAAAAAGCTAAAGCCCGTGCCAAATGCCTAGACACTTTATATAAAGAAGAAAAATGTGGGATACATGTTGTTTCAAAATTAATTGTGAAAATCAAGCCGTAGGTTTCAATTTTTGCTTGTTGCTCCATAGCTCTGACCAATCGTGGTTTTAAAAAAATCTCTGAGCCATGCAATTGTCTGGCTTTTTGGGTAATTACAATCCGAGCGTGTCCAATTCTGCTACGTTCGTGCTCTTTTTGTCCAGTACAATTAAAAGTTCAAATCCGTGCTCAGAGCTCCTTTTAACCACAAAGCTGAGATCCAACGTGTGATTGGCATTTTGCATGGGCGATTCTTTTGGGCAAAAATGCCAAACAATGGTGCAAGGTTAGAAAAAAGAAGCAAAATTAGCCAAGAAGAAAGAGACGCAAGGTTTAGAAGGTTAAAAAAAGAGGCGCAAGGTTAGAAAAAAGAAGCAGGTTAGAAAAAAGAGGCGCAAGGTTAGAAAAACAGGTGCAAGGTTAGAAGAAAGAGGTGCAAGGTTAGAAGAAAGAGGTGCAAGATTAGAAAAAAGAGGCGCAAGGTTAGAAAAAGAGGTGCGAGGTTAGAAAAAAGAGGCGCAAGGTTAGAAAAAAGACGCTAGGTTAGAAAAAAGAGGCGCAAGGATAGAAAAAAGAGGTGCAAGGTTTAAAAAAATAGGTGCAAGGTTAGAAAGAAGAGGCGCAAGATTAGAAAAAAGAGGTGCAAGATTAGAAAAAGAGGCGCAAGGTTAGAAAAAAGAGGTGCAAGGTTAGAAAAAAGAGGTGCAAGATTTTAGAAAAAAGAGGCGCAAGGTTAGAAAAACAGGTGCAAGGTTAGAAGAAAGAGGTGCAAGGTTAGAAAAAAGAGGCGCAAGGTTAGAAAAAAGAGGTGCAAGGTTAGAAAGAAGAGGTGCAAGATTTTAGAAAAAAGAGGTGCAAGATTAGAAAAAGAGGCGCAAGGTTAGAAAAAAGAGGTGCAAGGTTAGAAAGAAGAGGTGCAAGATTTTAGAAAAAAGAGGCGCAAGGTTAGAAAAACAGGTGCAAGGTTAGAAGAAAGAGGTGCAAGGTTAGAAAAAAGAGGCGCAAGGTTAGAAAAAAGAGGTGCAAGGTTAGAAAGAAGAGGTGCAAGATTTTAGAAAAAAGAGGTGCAAGATTAGAAAAAGAGGCGCAAGGTTAGAAAAAAGAGGTGCAAGGTTAGAAAGAAGAGGTGCAAGATTTTAGAAAAAAGAGGCGCAAGGTTAGAAAAACAGGTGCAAGGTTAGAAGAAAGAGGTGCAAGGTTAGAAAAAAGAGGCGCAAGGTTAGAAAAAAGAGGTGCAAGGTTAGAAAGAAGAGGCGCAAGGTTAGAAAAAAGACGCTAGTTCTAGGTTAGAAAAAAGAAGCGCAAGGTTAGAAAAAAGAGGTGCAAGGTTAGAAAAAGAGGTGCGAGGTTAGAAAAAATAGGTGCAAGGTTAGAAAAAATAGGTTCAAGGTTGGAAAAAAGAGGCGCAAGGTTAAGAAAAAAGAGGTCAGCAAGGTTAGAAAAGAGAGGTAGCGAGGCAAGGTTAGAAAAAAGAGTTTCCAAGGTCGAAAATATAGAAAAAGGTGCAAGGTTTTTAAAAAAAGAGGTGCCCAATCAAGAATATGATCTCAAAAATGCAATCTGCAATCAATTGCCCAAGAGGTGCCCCTACAAAATACAAAATCGTGAAGTAAAATCTTCAAGAAACCACAAAATTGTCCCATGGAAGCACTACAAAATGCCAAACCAGGATCATTTTTCCGATGATAAAATGGTTCTGGTACAAATGCAAGGTCCAGGAGATATTTTTTTTGTAATGCAAGGTACATGTTTAAGGTCTGGAGCTGTTTTGTACCTATCTCGGGATAACATATTCTGTAGTGGAAATTCCAACCCCGAATATTGGATGTTCATAGGTGTTCGATCAACCGTGTAGCCTACAAGAAGTCCATGAATCACTTTTTTCTTGAATCGTGTTGCTGGGCAAACTTCGCATGTTAGGAGCGAAGGACGGTCAGGATGCCAGGTCGTCAAACTGACTAGCAGCTTGGAGCTAGCAAACACTCCAAAGATTGTGCACCTTCTGATGGCAAACTCCGGCAGTCGAAAAATTGTTACTTTCCAATTTTCATCAAATGTCCATTTCATCGAAAGACTCTACGATGATTCACGATGATCCAAAGTACACCTGTGACCTCGAAGTACTTTGCACCTTTCGCACCCTGACACGCATCCCTTTCGGCACCCCTCAGCCCCCTCTGCCTTGACGCGCAAGGTTTCCAATTGTAGGTGCTGGTGTGATAGCAATCCATACCACAATCCCACCTCAATGTGCAGCCCATTGCTTTCTACCCAGATTCTACCCCACCTAAATCTCACTCTCGAAACAATTAACGCATATCAAATCTTTCAGTCCCTTTTGAACATCGCAAGAAAATGCAAGAGGATGAAAGGAGGAAATTTCACCAATTGCCCAGCAAGCTTCAATTTATGTCGTGCGACCCAGCAAACATCCTCAGTGGAAGGAGGCAATAAGTGTCGCCAGATTCACCAGGCTGATTTTCCAAACCCGGCCATGAAAAGCTAACACACAAGAGGACGGGTTCAAGTTCATTCAAGTTCAAAGTCAGGGACTGCAAAAGGAAAAGGGACACCACACATCAGAACTCCAAATCTTATTTCAAGCATCATCCAGACGTCGTGGGGAGCCCTGAGTGCAAGGGTTATGCACGTTTTTCGTCTTTTTCACAGTCACAAGGAACTCCAGATGATTTCCAAGTCGGAATTGAAGCCACCTGCCTCTTCTGCCAATGCGGTTTCATTCAATGTGATCTCCAAATGGCGAAGAACATCATGTGCAGTCTGAGCAAGAAAGGCAAATGGACACAAGCGCAAAGGCAGAGCCTCATGAACCAAAATAAATCTCATCTTGGAACATGTTAGAACACACTTGGACGCCTCATTAAGGGCGGCCTGATTGATGGCAGCCTGGCTGACAAACACATCGGCGAGCTCCACAATTTCCTGAAGCAAGGAACAATGACAATGATCTGGACTGAGAATGCTGGACCTGCCCTCTAAAATCTCTAAAGGCATCTCAAAGCACTGTACATAGACTGCCTATGCCCTGCATTTTTTTTGGGCAAGTGCCTGGTCGACTCTTGCAGACAAGTGCCGACGCCACCAGGCTGCACAACACTGCAAGTTTCCACATTGCTAAGGCAATGAGAATGGGTGCTATGCGGCTGTGAAACGTCCTTGCCTTTTAACGGAAGATCGAGTCTGAATCTGCATGAAGGACCGCGCGATCATAATACACAAGCATATCATATAATGTATTATAATGTCATATCATATCAAAATCATATCATGTCATGCCATATCGTATAATAATTATAATCTGATATCAGACAATCAAAATCATAATCGTAATCATAACAATATCCAGATCAGATCAGAGCCAATGGTACAATATATATTACAATTTTCAAATATATAAATACAAATAATATGCACGCATGTATGTAACATGTATGCATACAGTGTGTTGCAGTATCTTACTCATTTGGCAGTTACAAATGAACACAAACATAGTTCTTAACAACACACCATCAATAGTCGGGGTGCGAGTCCCTGCATCTATGACAAGAGAATTTAGGGTACTGACAGGTACTGACGGTGATACTGACAGTCTCAGGAAAAATGAGACCAGTCAATCACAGTGAATCTAGAAGCAAAGCAGAGAAGCATAGAGAAGCTGAACAAAGATGAACAAAGCCTCACAACATCAACGAATCGAACCGGCCCATGGAGTCCCGCGCCTTCGAGTAGATCTCCATGATGTCAGGGTGAGAACGGAAGGATTCGGTGAGAAAAAATAAACCTTTGCTTTCACAAATCGTCAACGTATCGCGGGTCAAGCCTTGACGGTCTTGACGGTCTTGACGGTGCCCATCCTCGTCGCTCCATCCTTTTGCCTTTGCAGCCTGAAAACGAAGGTTCACCAATCGCTCAATCATGGACTCGTTCAGCTTTGCAATCCGTCGGGCCAAGGAAGAAATAACCAGTGGACCCAACTGAAAATGGTCTCCAAACAGAATGATCTGAGTGTGGGCAGAAGGAGATAAGAGTTGCATTGGAACCAATGTCTCTGGTTCAGTAGCTTCTCCGGCTTCATCAACAATGACGTGAGAAAACCAGCCAGAAGCCCCTTCCTTTCTAGCTGTGTTTGCAATGTGGGAAGCACAAATGCAGGTGGTCACAACCACCCTGAAGGAACGCAATTTTGAAAGCTGAGGTATTTGGAAAACGGATCGGCCATCTCTTTGTGTTGTACTCCCATAGCGCTGGATTTCTTCTGGTACCGTCTTCACATTCCTTCCAAGAGCATTCAAGCGGAGCATGCGACTCTCGTCAAGCCCCAGCTTCGCCAGTTTTGCGCACAGTACGTCTGCTCCGGTGTTTGAAGGCGCGGTCACAAGCAGTTGAAACTTTAAGTTTGCCTGTACCAGATGCCACACCAAAAATGCTGCAAGCGTAGTCTTCCCGGTGCCTGCGGGTCCAAAATATCAAATAGACAAGTGTCAAACTGGAAAGATTTCACTGCGGGAACTGCAATCTTAATAGATGCCACTGTCGGAGCCCAAACTTTAAAAGACTCTAAGGATTTGATACTGTCATGTCATATGAGCTCAGAAAAGGATGCACTGGATACTGCATAAAAGCATGGACCAGTGCCTGGGGGTCCCCAAACCAGCAGGGGGAAAGGATTGCCAGCTCTTCCGATTGCTGCTGAAAGAGCTCTGCGTTGCACTGAGTTCAACGATGGTGGCAGTACAACTTCTATCTGTTTGTTTGAATCTACGCGGGCTGAACAGACAGTGGGTTCTGTGTGCTCCTTGAGTTCAGTGTTTTCAGTACTGCCCAATTGCCCACTGCCGTCCCTTCGTCCAGCATCTTTCTCTGCATCTTCTTCGCTTCGCTGCACCTCGCTTAAGACTTTTTTGACTCGCTCACAGTCAAGTGCCCTGTGCATGGCCCACTGTGGAAATCGATTTGGCAGGAACTCAATTTCGTATGGGCCTCGCATATCTTCTAAGCTTTCTGAAGACACCAAAAGCTTTCCAGAATCACTTCCTGGTTGGACAAAGGCTAAACAAGTATCTTGATCATTGCTGATCTGAACCTGGACACCTCTTTGCAAAAATTGACCGAGGGAATGAGAGAACTCGTCGTACATTTCACTTATGTCAAGTGTGAATAATCCATTTCCACGAGGTTTGATCTCATCCACACGGGATCTCAAACCTTGAAGCTCCAGAGTCATGCGCAGTTCTTCTACCCATAGACTCTCATGCAATTTGGCTACACGGACTTCCGCTGCGGAGAGGTCAGGCTCTTTGTTCTTGATTCTCTTCCGAGCAACTTCCCGTGCTCCAGCCCAAAATGCTCGTCGCAAGTCTTGTTCTGAGTTTTGTGGTTTTTGTTCAAAAATTTGTTGCATTTGTTGCGTTTGTACCCCATCCGGAACTTCCTGCCCCGTTTGTTCATCGACATCTTCAGTGGATCCAATCTTTCCACTTTTCAGCTGCTCTAGGAGGGTCGAATACTCCTGTGTCACAACGTAGATGCCTCCGGACAGGCGCGCTTTGCGAAGTTTGGCAGATTTGCCGTGCTTTGCAATAGCATTGTCTTCGAGGATCATCACAGATCCGCTTGCACATCTCTTATGAATGAGAGGCACTAGTTTACTGTGAATCACGCTGGCTCGGGCTTTGGCCAGCATTCGGCAAAGGGCACACCAAGTTTTCTGGTGCCGAAAATTTCTTTTGCAGAGCACGAATTTCAGTGCGTTCGAGCATGAACGGCACAAATGTATACAAATGTCATGCTGATGCATTGTGTCAAAGAATCCAGGTACAAAATTCTCCGTGACATCCATTCGTGACATAGAGAAGCATCAACTATATAATTTCATTACACTGTCCTGAAAACTTGTTTTTTTTCTGCCTTCTCTTTCAGTCTCAAAACATTCAAAACATCCTGGAGTTCTGCTGGCAAACCCGCTGCAGCAACCAAGGTTTGCCCGCTGATGTCCTCCAACAAAATCCTGCAGCTCTTTGCCAGCAACAGCAATGATATACAAGAAATGTGTCGCAAAATACCAAACATAGTAAAAGAAACAAACATCATTCATGTGAATTCTTGGAGTCTGCACATATTGTTCACACATTAGCCACGGTCCGCGCAACCAAACCAGCATTTGTTGTAAACCACAAGTGGCTACAACTACTGAGACTGATATATACGTGTGTATGTTTGTATAATAATATGTATATATATATACACACTACTTACACTATGTAGTATGTGTATGTTATACAGGCAACAACATTATCATTTGTATACATGAAATTATTCTGCATAGCCTTACATACATAGCGATATCTTGTGCATAGTAATATGTTGTGGATAAGAGTATATCATATACACACCAATATATTATTTGTGTATCACAATAGATTGCTCTCAATACATATCAGCAGTTGTAAATCCTAAGAATATATTATTAATCATTACTGTTGTTACTGTTGTTATTCCTCTTATCGTCATAAGTAGCATCGTGTATATGTGATAGTATATGTCACGGTAAATACTGTATAGTTATATATGTTCTATACATATATCATATATACACTGTGTTTCCATGATTGATATCATGGTATAATGTATATATATATAATTAAATATATATTATCCGATATCGTACAATATGATATGATATGTTAATTATTATTGTTATGATATGACATGATATAATGTAATATCATTTCATGTTCACTTTTTGCATTGTATACTATGTATGCAATTATGTGTAATATTATATATAATCCATGTATACATATATATATAATTATATAATACATACATATATCATATATGTATTGGTGTATTGGTGCTTTGAGTTCTGAGTCTGCGAGCTCCTTTGGCAATGCAAGAACAAGCGAGGACAGCTTGCCAAAAGAGATTCTTGCGCTCCGTACGTCTCGTCACCCACAAGTGGCTGCTGAATGCTCGCAAAATGAACTCGGATTTGGTGTGTGCGGCCTGTTGCCTGGGGAATCTGATGCACCCAATAGACAAAAAATTGCGAAACTTAGTTTGTTGGCCTGCTTTCGTTCTGGCTTGATGAAGGGAAGGGCAGTTCAAGGGTGATATGCTGAGACTGGATTGCTCTTTGAGTATCCCACAACACTGACTCAACCAACATTTACTGTTCTGCATGGCCTGCTTTTACAAGCATGAGCTGAAGCACTTCAAACTTGGAAAGGTCCTGTTCCTACAAGGATAATACTTCAAACTCTCTTCCCAAAGAGGGTACAAGGAGAAGTGTTTGGTCGGTGTAGTACTTGCACACTCCAAAATGTTAGGAAAAGTTCATTCCAAGAATCTGGCTTTGCCAATAGTAGTTTGATCTCTCCAAGGTCGCCTGCTCTGAACCTCTCCAATATCTCGTATCCTGCCAACAATAGATCAAAGTAAACGGCATGCCCCTTACAACTTTTATATATATAACCTATAACTTATAATAGTCAAGTCAAAAATGTCAAAAAGAATCAAAGTGCCATCAGTGCTATCTCCGCTACATCCCATATCCTTGTTGGGTCTGTTGGTTCCTCAGTCCTGTGTATGCAAACCTTCCTTCAGGATGGACCTCTGTTCTCAATGAGTCAGTGCCAAATGATCGCAAAGGCTTCGAAATACTGCCAGTTTCACCAATCTCGCCCAAGAACGGTCCCTCTGCAAGACACAAATACTCCTTGCATGCACAAGCGAAAAATTGCAGACGAAGGTCAGAATTCCTGATGAGTTCCCAATCGAAAGAAACTGATTGCAAGCATCGTGACAGCATCGTGAAGCTCTGTCCTTCTTGACAAGCTTCGCGGAGAACTGTGCTTGCAGCCACTGGCAAGGTATAGAACCCTCTGGACCCATGGCAACAGGTATGACACCTGACGTTGGATAGTCCAGCCTTCAGGGATCATTACAGGCGAAATGGGTCGATTCGTCTGCATGCCACATCCGTCGTATATGTCGTATGCTACCCGCCATCTTTTGAATCAAAGACTGCCCCTCATAGCATCCAACTGGCGGTCTCAGTACTCGGGAATTGGATCACTTGGTTCGGCTTGGTTTCAAAGTAGACTGAGCAGGGAACGGGCTGGGAGGGGTGGGGTAAGTATAGGTAAGTTGTAAAGGAACCGGACAGTGAGCATTGGGCGTTTGATGGGGTGGTCTTCAAGAGAACAGGGTGAGGTGGGGATCCGGTATGATGCGGTAGAGTAGGCTTTCAAGGAAGTACGTGGAAACGTGGTGCAGAGGCAACGAAAGTGACTCAAGGTGCAAGCAAGGCAAAGTACAAATTTGACAAATCTAATCTAATTAATTCTAATTATATCTGATTAAGATTAAGATGTATGAAGGCGATTTAGTTTGGTCCATTCAGTCGCTTGCCGATATTCTTCTGTAAGCTTGGTGGATCTCCAAGCAGTGAGGACAGTGAGGAGATCAAAGTGCAAAGGAGTCGCTCATCTGGAGCTTTTAAGCAAGACAAAACAGGGGGCACAGGCAAACCCCCACAGACTTCTACTTGCGCCTTGACACTGTCTGGACACTTGCAGTCCAAAGTCGTCCAAATACCATTTCCATCATGCTTTCTGTACTGAGTCCAGAAGGTTTCATCAGAACCACAACCCCTGGGCGTCTTGCAAGTACTTCAACACCGTCAACAGCTGTCCCTGGGAGAACGTCCGAAGCATTCGCTGCCGGATCATCCAGGCGGATGTCACTGATGTCACTTGCTTTACTCGCGTACCACTTCTTCAGCATTTCTCGTAACAAAGACATAGCTGCTGCTTCACCACAAGCATCAGCTACAGCTGATGCAACGGATCCAGCAAAGGTACCATCTGGCACAATGTTTTTGGACAGCGCGATGGACAAAATCTGCAGAGATTTTCTCCATTCCTTCGACTTCTCGAGTGCACCAGCTAATTCGGTGAATGTGGAGCCGTCTGGAGCTGAGATAGAGTCTGCAGGATCGGAAGTATGCTGAGCAAAGATTTCAAACAGGTTCAAAGCTATCTCCCACATGCTTGCCATATTGCACGCTCCAATAGCACAGTTGTATGTGATGACATCCGGAAGCAAAGCACATGCCTTAAATGTTGCATGATGTTGCTTTAAGAATCATCCCCCACACCACGCAGATTCACAAAAAACAAGGTTCCAAATCTGACAGAAAAATGAAAATTGATACACTCTTCATATCTCTTCATCATGAAGAAGTTACGAATGTCTCCTGCAACAGCAGGAGAGCTCTTTCCCACTGGCCACTGCGCTTGCAACTCCCGATGGCAGCATTGTACGTGATGAGTCCAGGAGAAGCTTTGTGCGAAAACATCATCTCGAACACGCACGCTGCAAGCTCCCACCTGTTGCCAATTCAAAATATGTCTAGCACATTTCATCCTCTCTCAAGACACAGAGACTGCCATGAACCTTTGCATAATTAATCTGCAACCAGTATCTCATCATATCTCATCTTTTTCACTTCACTTATCTTTATCATTCTTTATCATTTATCGGCGAAACTTGTGAGTCTAGACTCTAGACCACTCGTGACCACTTTTGACCACCAGTCGCCACAGCGCTCGCATCGCCTGCCCGACTTTTCACAAGCACTCATAGCGGCATTGAAGCAATATTGATCGAGCACAAAATCATCCATTTCTGCGAGAAGCCATAGAGATGCTTCCCATCTTGCGGCCTGTCAAAGCGATGAAAAGACAAGTAGTGATGGTTGACCTCTGTTGACTTAAGTGTGAAAGATCAACGCTGCGTGACACTTCACAAGACCTTATTATATTGCATTCCCAATCTCATTGAATCTGATCTGGCCTTTGCACATGCATTCATTGCAGCAGTGCAGCTCACAGTGTCTGGTAGGCATCTTGTGGAAGACATGCTCTGCAGAAACTGAAGGGCTGACTCCCACCTGAGGGGATCTGAAAGTTCTACAAACCAAAACAGGAAAAACAAGAAAATAGTGGTAGAAGTTGTACCAAGTGCAGTATGTGCAGTCAACATATTCAAAATTCCCCAGGTATCACTAGCCCATACTAGGTCTCAAACTGACTTGCACATTCACAGGCACTGATAGCTGCGCTGTAACCTCAAACGAAGCTGACAATCAGAGCAAAGGGGAACTGCCTCTCCGCACAGTCCACAACACGTGGAAGAAAAATCTACAGTGTCTAAAATGACATCGGCGTGCTCCGAGGATTGTCGCTAAGGCACTCCAAGCAGTGTAGGACAATCTCATGTGCATCATCTCTTGGAGGAGTGACAATGCCAACTCCCATTCTCCGCCTCTACAGACTTAGCAGTTGAACTTTGGAGCAACGTTTGTGGACAACGAGTTGCAGCCAGGGGCAGTGACTAGCTGACTATAGCTGACTAGCTAGGAGCTGGCTGCAGCTAGCTTCCAACGCACTTCAACAACACAATGGGCAGGGTGCCATCTTTGTGCCTCTCTCGCAGGCACTAATGGCGGAGTTGTAGTTCTTTTCCTGATGAAGGTGAGATCCAAAGACTGGCAGATATTTTGTGAATCAAAAATAAAAAGAACAAATATGAAAAGAACACATATGTCGACCTGTGTCGAGAGAGAGGAAGAGAAACTGTTCGATCTGCTCGGATTGTTGTTATCTGCAAGAGACGCAATATCTGCGAAAAAGCTTTGCCACCAAAGTCTCGGTTGGAAACATGGAAAGTGATGTCAGCTCATCTAGCAAGCCGATCGACGTCTGCCACTGTGAAGAGCGAGCGCAAGCACTGATGGCAGAGTTGTAGCAGAACCTGCAGCTGCTATCAGCTGCTCAGGTCGAAATGTCCAAAATGTCCATTTCAGTCACAATTCCGACCTATTCCGACCATGTTGCTCCGAGCATCTCTGAGCTATGTGGTTTAAATTGTTTTTATTGCATGTGTGCGTGTGCTCTTGTCTCAACCACTTGCGCAATCTCTGTTGAGTTCTCGCCTTGGAAGCTAGCTCGTGTATACAGGGCCCGGTATCCGCTAGAAGCACTTTCCATATCTTTGAGTGTATCGACATAAAGTGATGTGTTTCTACGATATGGTTGCAACACTGCGACTCCACCAGGATACAACAAACTTTGTCTGTTCGAGTCTTTGAGTAGAGAGTCACCTCATTGCCCCTTCAACTTTCAACAAATCACCATCTACCGAATCCCTCAAACTTGCACCAAGGCATACGGGCCAAAAGTTGATAGGGCTTGTCGTATTGACAGGTCGGGCATGGTCAGGCTGCAATCAAGGCACTCATTCACTTCAATGCCATCTGGCTTGATTCCTCATTCGCTTCAGAGTCAATGTCACGGGCAGAGTATCTCTCAAGGTTTGTCTCAAAAGGATTCAAAAGGTGACACAGCATGGAAAAGGCACTCTTTCTTAAATTGAAATACAGTAAATCAAGCAAAGCTCCGTGCAAAAAGGCAAGGGCCAATTGCCATTGCCCGCCTTTGTCGCAAGCGCTAATAATTGCATTGCAGCATATGGGGCTTTGTTGCAAGCTTTGGTCTTGCATTTCCTGCACCACTTTGCCCAAACACGTCACACCGCTTTGGCACAGTCAAACGAAGTGGAACAATACCAACAGAATAAGTGACAGTCCGACATGTCACATTCCTATCTACCTCGAAAAGTGAGTACTCAAAAAATATGCGCAACGCTCCTGAAACAGCTCCACAGCCACCTGCCACCCAACCTTTTCACTGCGGGAACAAGCCTGAAAGGAGGTAGATGGAAAAAATAGGAAAAAAAACTGCACCTGCACCTTCAAAAGAATGAATTGCATACTTTGAAATCATTGAATCTCTTCGAACATCCACTGAAAGCAACATCCATTCAAGCGATTTCAATTGTCTGTACTTTTGGTGTGGCGTCGGAAATGGAGAATAATCAGTGAGTTTGTGAAGGAAACAAACGGTCAAAGCGGCAGGCAGTGCAGATCAGAAGCCGACAACAATGCCCCATAATGAAACACGTTGGTCTCTGCACGTGCTAGTTGCAAAGTGCGAAAAACATGCAGCGCCAATTGCAGCTTGCCTCCAACAGGGACACATCAAAGGACACGAACACTAAATATCACAACATCCTCTCCATGCTGGCCTCCCTTCTCATCTTTGTAAAAGTTTGCCATACTACAAATGCATAAACACAGCATGCCCCCCTCTATCTTATTGATGCACGTTGTGCTGACTCCTCCCGTGATGGTTCTGATGTAGTGCTTGCACCAAGCCACCACGTTTGCTCAATTGGCCAAACAATGTTGTGGCTAGCTTTGGCTCGACCTTGCGTTTCAGCCAGGACATTTCTCAAAAGCTTTGTTTTTTGCTGTTCTGTTGAAAAATGACACATGCACAAAGCAGCGACTTCAAAAGCAAGAATTTGAGGTCGTGACGATCAATTTGTTCAATTCAGACGAAAGTGCATTCTGCACCTGCCGCTGGGTTGCCGCAGGTGGAAGCTCCGCGATAGCTTCAAAAACCCCAGGCATGCAAGGGCCCCAGAAGGCATGCAGGGGGAAGGGCCAACCCGCAGACTTCTATCTGAATCGAGCCCGAAGATCAAGCAAAGGTTAGCCAGAGTTTGGTTTTACATCGAAGAATTTCCTCAGCTCTGCTTGCCTGCTTGAACTTGATCACATCTGCATCATCATCTACGTATACTGCATACATATGTAATCTCTATCATGTGCGCATATCATCTTACAAGGATTGGCATGCGTTTCACATCCAGCCTTTTTTCCGGAAGCACTTAAAGATTGCAGATTTCTCAATGCGCAACAACTGCATTGGTGTTGACATGCGCTGGTCCAAATGGATCTGATTTGGTCAACACAGCCCGCAATTGCATAGAATTGCTGTCTGACCACGGGGGATGCTGCTCAACATTGATGGTCCACATGCCATTCTCTCCTCCCTGCAAAGCCATGCGTGTAGCTTTCAGCTTATCTTTGACCTTTTCTGATTTTTTGGCAACTTGAATAATTGCGGTCTCCAAATCCCGCATGCCTGTGGAGTCTCCAGGGTATCCAAGCCTTCTGAGTATCGGCTTTTGCACTTCCAGGGCTTTTGGTTTCAAGCTCACCAAGAATGAGCGCTGATCAAAAGCTGCTCTCCTAGCCACTTCTCCGGAGGTTTTCAGGAAAGATTCTTCTTCGTAAGCCTCTTGCAAGTCTGACAAGATATCAAGGGCCTGAGTCTCCGTGTACACTTGTTTCCGACCTGTTCTGCTCCTATTCTTCAAAGGATCATGGCCCAACACGTTGCACATGGCTCTCCACATCGTCCCAGCCATTTTGCCTCGTAAATAGTCTCCTTTTTTAGCACTGATTCTGTCAAGAAGCTCTGAGATTGCCTCCCCCACCGTTGGATACTCATACACCAAAGACAAAGACACGGGGGTATTTGGAAGGTCGCCCTGCAAATGCCTCACCAGGTCCACTGCAGTGATGGAATCAACTCCGACTTCCACAAAGACCAACTCTTCGAAAGCAGACAAAAGGAGTGGATCCAACTCGCGGAACTCAGGAACTCCAACTCCAGGAGCTCCAAGCTTCGAAGACTTCGTGTCTTTTTGGAGTTCCTTTGCTTTTCGCGTCTTCGTGGTCGGCGGGGGTGTCAGGCCTGCTTTTCCAAGTGCCTGTCTCGCTTCACCAAAGCGCTTCAATGCTTCCAAGGCACAGGATTTTCTATACCAAGCCTTTTCATCACTCTGATTGATGCCCAAAGCTGAATTTGAAGCACTCAAGGCAATGCGAGCTAGACCCAATTTCAAGGCAGCGGCAGACTTGTTCTTCAGCAATTCGGAGCGCAGTTTGGAAATGGGACCACCTCCAGGTGCAGAAGCTAAAAGTTTTAATCCCTGACAGGAGTGCCAAAAAGCCTTGTCAAAGGAATCTTCATGGAAAGCGATCACGCCTTCATGTCGCTCTTCTTTTCCTTGGCGAATGAGATCAGAAGCAATTTCATCAGTCCAAGGCTGCATCGAACCTGCCTCTGGCAGTGGGTGAAGCATCTTCCATGTCCATTCTTCAGCTGTTGCTGCCTGGTCAAGATCTCCACTGTCACTCAACAGCCTGAGTGATTCAATGTCGGCTTGCAAATCTGCATCCTTTAGCTGCACCGCCAGTGGTACTCCTCTCTCTTCTGCTTCCAGCCCAGCATCATAGATGTGCCACTGCACAAAGCAATACTTCCACATGGGCGATAGTTTCATTCGAATCTCAAATGGAGCTTCTTCAACGAAGTCCAGCGCAAGGCGCTGTTTTGGCGGTGGCAACTCGTGCGCTTCTTGATTCAGAATCATGGGATCACTGTCCCATCGGTTTTTGCTGTCGGACTTGTCCATGCAAATCTTCAAAGCACGATCCCATCTTAGAAAGCGCATTCTGCCGATGCAAATGCCGATGGCTCGTCAAATTGAAAACGAAAAAAACTCGACAGGTCATGCCTCACCTACTTTTGTTGTGGGTTAAATATCGCCCAAACTGCAGATCGTCCAAAGCCAGTAATATTAGTAAGGTGGGTGGAAGGGGTGGAAGTGTATGTTGGATAGTTTGATATGCTAAAAGTGACTGCAACTGCTTGTACAAATGAGACACTGAGCAGTACAAATGTTAAATGCGGATACTGAGCCACACTTTCGCCAAATCCTGATGGCACTGGGACATCTCTCACATGGTCCATGGTCCGGTTGCAGTCACCTCGCATTTCCATCTGACCTTTTTGACCATGCAACATAGCAATTCGTGGGAGACATGCTTTTCATTGCGTTTCCATATTCTATATACATCAATTCAGAGCAGCCTCATGGTTTAGACAAGGTTAGAGCTCTCTCTGTCTCTCATTCATTCTCTCTCTTCTTATTCTCAAGGAATTCACCAAACTGGGGCTTCCCTGAACTGGGCAGTGACACAGGAGATCTCTCAGTGAAGATTCTCCAACTCCTGTTTCCGCTCTCCTGTTTCGGTCAGCTATGTCGGTGTCAGCATGTGTCAGCCAAAATTCTTTTGTTACACTTTCAAAGATTGCACTAGCAGACCGCAGATTGCAAAGGAAGTTCAAAGAATGTTTTACTATTAGTTTTCACAACACATTTGGTATTCTTCGCCTTGACTTAGAATTCAACATGGTGGGAGACAAGCCGACAAGCCAGAAAAACCAGCAATCAAACCATGCACAGAGATATGCAGGGAGACAAGATACGAGATGAAATCGGACACGAGACAGCACTCACCTCAAACTTCAAATACCCTCAATTCGAAGGAGTTTAACTTCAAGCCACAATATTCAGAGACAGTTCGACAGACAAAGGGACCACCCATGCCAGAAGCCAGCATCTTGGGAGAGTTCCCAAATAAGCTCAGTGACAAACTGGACAGCACCGAAGGGCCATCCTCTCGATTGTATAGGAAGATACGACCCTGGCTGCAGTTTTTCCGGAACCATGTTAGGAGACAAGCGGTGCAGCGACCTTGTCAGACGTCCGGCAACGATGTTGAGAGACCATGCTGGAAGACAAGCATGAAGATGCAAGAAAATACCCACGTCAAAGTTCAGGGCACCATGCTGGGAGGTAAGCTGGGAGGTTGGGAGACAAGCTGGACAGCATGATGCCCACAAAGTGCAGGCTATTGCAGGCTAACATCTTGATTCTATGAGTGCCGCTATATGGGGAACAACGCACAGAAAGCATTGAGAGCAACGGGACAGTCAACAGTGGTGCAACATGTCTTGCTCTTGAGGCTTCTCAGTTGCCTCATGTTTACAAGCTGGACATCTTGCCAATATTGCCCTACGTGTATGAAAGTTTTGTTGCCTTTGCATGTAACCTACTACCTTGGACCCTTCAAATTCTGGATTATGTTTCCCAAAGTTCCAAAAGCAATGTGTTTCTGAAATGAATCCCATCAGTCCATACTTGTGGTAAAAGCGCTCGGCTATGAAGTGGAACCTTTGCAGGCATAATGGCACACCACTTTGCAAAAGGTTTCTGTTGATTTATGGAGTTGGTTTGCAAGACGAACTCACCTGCGTCATTTTTTGTATTGAGAATCGTATTGAGAGCCATGCGGTGCATCCACAACTCCTCTAGAAGAGCACGTTTCGAATAACCTGGGTGCTGAGGATCTCCTGTCCAAAAAGAAAACACCGGCAAGAGACCCCAAACAGTGTGGGGGTATGATGTCAATGCTGCAAATACTATGTGTAGGACCTCATACGAGAAACTCATACCAGGACATCGAAGAGAATCTCACAAGATCATCAAAGAATGTCCTTCTTTATTGAGGATTTTACCAGACCTTCATACAGGAACTTCCTAGGAGCATCCCAGAAGAACTTCCATACAAGCACCTCTAATGCAGAGCATCTTCAAGATCTTAATGCAAGGACCTTTTAGGAGGATGTGAATATGATCTCCACAAGATCCTCTCACAAGGGCCGGTACAAGATCATGCTAGGGGGGTTCAGCAGGATCTTTGCAAGATCTTCTCATAAGGACCTGTGCAAAATCAGAGCCATGTCATACGAAAATTTACAAACAAAATGCCGCGTGCAAGACCCTAGGCCTACGTTTTGCGCGAGCCTGCACAGTCGCACATGAACATGTCACAAGAGCCGTTTTATGCGAGAATTCTCAGGAACATTCCACAACACATGACTGCCCGCCCACCCTCCAACTCTTTTAGATCAAAGCTGCTGAATCACCATCGCTTCATATCACCCGGGTATACCTGGTGTCATTTGAGCTCTTCATTTAATTTACAGTGTTTTCAACACTGTCCCAAATTTGACTGCACTTAAAGACTTGAGCTGACGAAGAGCTATCTGAGGGTAGGTCAAAACATGTAGGGCAGTAGCGGCAGTTATCAGATGGCTCACGACTTCTGTCAGTGGTGACATGTTCTTTACCACTGAAGTGCCACCCACAAATTGTTTTTCATGTGCGTGGTGCCGTTTCAAAGAGGGTAATGAATGACTTGTGCATTACAAAAGATTTAATGCTCTGAACATGCCAGATCTCCATCTGTTGATCTCGATCCACTGCAAGGGCTGCCTTCCACAATGTTTGACAGATTTTCGCATTTGCGTTCTGGCTCGAGAACTGTGTCTCTCGCAAATGACAAGTCCTTTCGTCTTCTCTTCTCGACTTCCAGTGCATCCTGAGCATCGGCTCTCTGGTCCAACTGGTTGGCTTGCCAGACTCCAGTTGCTTGCAACTCTTGCTTCTGTCCTGACTGTGCTAATGGTCTGACTCGGTTTGCAAGACCTTGCAAGGGGACCTCTGCCAGGTAGATCAATACATGACAGCATCCCTCTTCAGATCCCATGGCGTGCAGATCCGGAATGGCTACAGTCCTATGCTTTCTGACTATTGGCATGTCTAATCTTCCCTGCCTCAGACCTCCTACATCAAGGCCTTCTCTCTTGTCACCCCCTGCCGGCTCAGCAGGTTCTCTCAGCGAACCCTCAGAGCGTTTGTTGACCAGCGTTGGACCCATTGTTTTGCCCAAACCTCAAAGCTGTCAGGTCACCTTCTGCGAGTCTTGAGAGAAAGCCTGGGGCTCTTCTGGGTCTCTTTTGAGGCAGCATGAACCCAAACTGCTGTCACGCAGGACCATTTCATGCCTGCATAAGTTTAGCTAACTCAGTGAACTCGCAGCCGACTAAGTATCAAAACGCGACATGTCCCAAGCATTATATCGAGCAGGTGATGCACGTATGCAATATCCCCTGCTACACATTCCTCAATGTGTGTACGTCATCACCCGTTCCTTGGTCCCAGTGATTCACAGCGCTTAGATAGGTGACAGCATTCTCAACGCACGTGTAAATATGCAAAAGTATTGGTTGTCTCCACCGACTTGGGCATCGCTATTCCCATACAAGACATTATTTATGTGCACAGCAAACTGGGTACCAAGTACTATATAAACAAGTAGGTGTATATACTCACGCAAGTGAAAGCGAGTGCAGACAGCTGACACAACTCTCAAAATCACTCAAAGAAATTCAAGTTGAACCGATACCTTCAAGAGAGCAATTCACCAGATGAGTTGTTCAAAACACTGACAGGTCAACCGACTGAGTGGTGGCACAAACGCTATCATCTTTAACTCATTAGCGAAGTCATGTGTCTTTTCTTCTGAGCTTTGCCAGGTGAAGAGGGCCCACATCTTGATCTTCCCATGACACCGCGGGCGATCTTTTGAGCGACTTGGAGCGCTGCAATGTCTTCCACCACAACTCATCTCTTCGTGGCGGCACAATGGCTTTGATTGCCGTGAGAAGTGCCGGCAAGACAAACTTCTTGTTTGGATCAAATCTTCTGCTGAGGGCGTCGCAAATCACGTCTGTGAGGCCTGGACTGTGGTCCAGAGCATATTTATTCACTGGCTCTCAAACTCATAGCTCGTGACTTCCCCCTCAGCTCAGCATGGTCATTAGAGTCAGCGCTCCTATATCGTCACCTCTGATCTGAAGCTTAGCTCTGCAACCTTGCCAATGCTTCGGCCAGACTCTCAGCGCCACAAGGCCTGTAAGGGATTCCCAGACCTGTTGTCCCTCCGACGTGCCTGGATGCGCTGATCTTCATCGGAAAAGGGAATGGTGAAGAATTGCTTTTTTGGCTTCTGGATCTCGCACGGTCTTGGCCCAGAAGGTGCCCCTTGATTGATCTGGCTCTGGTTCAGATCACATGAGGAGCTGAAGTCTGCAGATCTGTTTCTAGAAATAACTTCAAACACTTCCGCTCTGAGCTGGTCAACCTTCTCTGATCTCAGGTTGACTTCATTCTTCGGTTTGCCCAAGTTTACATGCCCGCCTGAAACTCACCATAGTCTTTGAGCTATCACTCGATCAAATTGCAGACCTGCTTCCCAACATGCAGGGACTTGTCTGTGCACCACTGTTTCGCAAGCTGCTTGCTTCCTGTGTCACCTTCTCTTGTGTCTGCTTCTGTCTCAAATGCTTCCGGATCTATTCTGCCTTCAGTGTGATCCTCATGAGGATTGCTTTCCAGTCTGGGCATAGACTTCACCGCATCAACCAGCTTGCCCGTCCTAGCGAGATAAGGCCCCACGGGCTCTCTCCAGCGGTGGATGCGGTGCCCAAATCTTCTCACCTGAACATGGAACTGTACAGAGTTGTGGTGTGTGGTTTGCGCAACATGAACATGGATGTCTTGCCCTTCTCTCCAGTGAGGCTCCAACAGCCACGGCCTCTTCTTGATTGTGGCCCTCCATGCTACTGCTCTTCCTCTCAAGCCAGAATCGTTCCTTTCCGAACCTGGGTCTTCTGTTCTGGACCCAGATCTTTACAGCCATACCTGTCCGAGCCTGTGATGCCTCTGAGTGGCTTTGGGCCACCATCATGCTGACACCTAGCAGCGGTGAACGTCGAGCAAGGCGGTGACATGAGATAGCCATCATAGTCATCCAATTTCTGCTCTAACCGGTTCCAGGAATCCTGATCCAACAAGTTGTGTCTCGACATACTCTATGTCAACGCAGTCGCAAGTCACTCCACGATCTTTGCAAAACTTTTCGAATCCGTAATTAGTAATGAAGCCTTTTTGGCCCGCTGAGCAAATACAAAATCGAAGCGTGGGTCTCTCTTGGTCTCCCCTACCCTCACATGTTTGTAGGGTGGCTGATGAAAGTCTGTACCAATATGTTTGCGCACACTATTTGATTCTCTCTCTCACTCGAGTTGACGGCAACCCTCCAAATTTCAGACTGCTTGCACCCTTCTCTGGGGACGGCCCCTGTAAGGCGCCCTACCCTTGCCCTTTCGCTTGCCTTTGCCATGCAATTCCGGGGCCTCTTTGGGTCGTATGGTGTGGCGGCGCCATTCTTCAGGGCCAGCTCGTGTTCGGCAACACACTCTCGCTGTCACACGCTCTAAGAGTTCCAGCCTGCATCTGACATCGGCCTGATAAAGGGATGGCCCACACCTTCTGACTGTATCGATCATGGCGCCTCTCGATGCATTCACTTTACTTGGAGAGAATGCCCAAGTTTCTGACGTCGAGAGACCTTCATTCATTGGAAAATGGAAAATACTTAATATTAGGTAAAAAAACAAAAACAAAACAATAAACAAAACACAAAACAAAAAAAACAGTAAACAGCGCACGGTTTGAAACTCAGAGAGACTTTGTGCTTCTCCCTAATCGCCGCAGCTTGTTGATACCAGTTGCTCTCAAAGTCCACAGTCTGCTGCGTTGCCTGCTGCCAAGCCGCGACCAAAAAAACATTAAAAAAAAGGTGCCACCAAAAAAAGGGGGTACCACGAGCCGCCGGGGCACCCCCTAGACTGATTGCTTTCCCCATCAAGGGTAATAGGCGCACTGTTTGAAGCCTTAACTAGGCAGCCCTTGTTGGATTTCAGGAGTTTTGGTCGCAGCTTGGCAGCAGGCAACGCAGCAGACTGTGGACTTTGAGAGCAAGTGGTATCAACAAGATGCGGCGATTAGGGAGAAGCACAAAGTCTCTCTGAGTTTCAAACCGTGCGCTGTTTACTGTTTTTTTTTGTTTTGTGTTTTGTTTATTGTTTTGTTGTTTGTTTGTTTTTTTTGTTTTTTTGTTTTTGCTTGTTTGTTGTCTTTTATTTTTTTCTGGTTTCCAGTACAACGAAGCATTTTGCGTCATAAGCCCAAGTAAATGGCTCTGGTCATAACAAGAGCAGTCAGTAGGACATTGAATAACGACAACCAGTTTGTGCTTTTGGGTGGTCCCTGAAGCTCAACTGTACGAATGAGGCCATGTCTGCCGATTGTCACCCCTTGCAACTTCAGCTTGCCTTCAATGCGATGGCCATATGGCCCCCACACACACACAGAAAAGTCAGTGTAAGGAGGCAGTCCTGCGTCAAGCAGGTGGACAATCGCACTGAGCTGATCACCAGTGGGTTCCATGTCCTTTGGGTGCCTTTCACCTTTTCCAAAGACCCTTTCATACTCCAGGTACTGTTCTGCAGTGACAACAACTTCTCTGTCGTCCACTTGGCTGGTGATGCCCGAGAGTTTGACATTTCGGTGGCGTTGCGCCGATTGAGACTTTGCAGCTGCTAGCGCATGCTTCAGGGCTTCTATCGTCTGACCATTCCCTGCTACCATTCTGGCTGCATGGTAGCCGCTCCTCGTGCTTCAAGCACCTTCCATTGTGCCAGCACCTTTTCATAATCAACCTTCTCGAATATGCCAATGGCTCTCGTGAGCGTTACCCCTCTGACGCCAGTCAGTTTTGCCAATGACCCGGGCACCATAGTTCATCATCCATTTGCGTTCTAGCAAGTCCAGCCCATTCGAAAACTTCAGCCATCGTCTTCAAGTTTTCAATTTCGCTTTGTGTTGGATCCATAGCTGACATAAACCTTGAAGCCACCAGACAGGGTCACCTCGTTCTTGCTCTGATTGGGTCGGCGCAGCGCACAGCAAACGCAGCACACTATGGCTGTGATCGCGGGCAAGGCCACTGCTACCCAATACCGTTCGTGCCCATCTCTTCCTTCGTGGGTACCCAAAGGGCCAAGCTCATACGCACAACTCCCACCACCAATGACGGCATCGGTGTGTCAAATTTTGGTGGGTGTGATTTCTTGCCCCGGCATGGATGTCTTCACATAAATGCGACAAACCAAGATCAAGCAAAACTCGCGGCGCAGAGTTTGTGCGAGCCTGCGCAGTCGAAATGCACATGGACATCGCACAAGAGCAATCTTATGCAAGAATTTACAGGAAAAACGGGGAAAAAAATGGAGCACCCTGATCAATCACCAGCCTTGACTCTTACTGTAAGAACCCCTTAGTGTGGACACAGTGTTTGAGGAAAAAAATGTTTTCTAGGTCCATTTTGCTGCAAATCTTGCTTTACTATGCTTGCTCTCTGTTAAGGCGCAAACTCGAGACCCCTTTCGGCGCAAAATTGATGCCCCTGAAGCATGCCGTGGCATCTGTTTTGGTCTGTTTGCCATACTTGTCATGTCTGTCGAAACCTTGTGCATCTGCTTTTTCAGAAGGCCCGAAATCCACAGAAACACGTTTTTGCACTTTCCATACTTGAAATCGTCTGTGTTGCAAGCACACTTTCTAGCAAAGCCATCGCCTGCTCGACTGGTATGCAGCCAGGCTGATCCATCAAGTCTGTCTTGGTCGCAATCACGACCTGAATAACAAGAATGCTTGAGAAAGAGATCGGCATCGTGTTTGCTATTAGAAATACAGAAAGGCTTGTTGTGGGCGCGCAAAAGGCATTTTTTTCCCAAATACATTACATGGTCATACATGGTCTAAAACAATAATACACATGCCTTTTCTAGTGGAAATAGAGCTTAGAGTGGTTAACCACCCAAAATAAAACAAAAAAAGAACCAAAACAAAACAAGTAAAGCAAAAACAATGTTTTGGGAACTACTAGTACTTGATCTAGGCATGTTCAGACTAGTCTGGAAAACATTGTTTTTTTTGGGTGGGTTCTTTGGTTTTTTTGTTTCTTTTGTTTTTTTGGTTTCTTTGGGTGTTTGATTCCTTTGGATTAATCCAGATTAATCCAAACCAGATCTGATTCATCTTGCCCCCAAGGCATTCTTGTCAGCTAAGTTAGTACGTTTAAAAAAAATATATTGCATGCTAAACATGCACAGGATTTCTTGGGGATGTGCAATTTTCCTTTTCAGGTGTGAAGCCTTTGGGGATGTAAAATTATGTTTTTGGTGAAGGAAACCGTTTCTTCAAATAAATGGTGTTCCAGTCCCAGTAGATCGCAGCTGGAGTTCTTTGAAAGGAGTGTTACATATTTACAAAGAAATGGTGTGATTGAAAGGATTGTTACATATTTTCAAATCATGGTGTAACTTTCAAAAGAGGCAGCTGATTCAATTTTCTTTTTGGTGAGTAAAACCTTTCCTTCAAACAAATGGTGCGCCTTCCAAACAGATGGCATCTGGGTTTCTTTGAAAGGAGCGTTGCATATTTTAAAAGAAATGGTGCTACTTTCAAACATAAAGGCCAGCTGAGCTTCTTTGAAAGGAATGTTACATGTTCAAAGGACACACTGCATATTTTGACACAATATTGTTTCTATTGTTTAAAGCAAACTGTTTAGATGCGATTGCAACTTCAAGTTAAGAAAATAATCTTTGAAGAAAACGGAATCTGCCTGAAGGAATGTTACCATGATAAAGAACAGGAATACTGCACTTTAGGACACAATGCACATCATGGGTAAAACGTATTTTTTAAAAGAACCCAACCTTCATGAAAAGATTTCTTCCTGAACAAAACAATTGGCTAGCTCAAAAGCAACCACCCGCTTTTAAATGACAACAACTTTTTTGGTTGAAGTGGATGCCTCGTAAGGAAAACTGCACTTCTTTGAAGAACCTCATTTCTTCAAAGCATTGTTTGCTGGGAATGTAGCACAGGCATACAACTTAATAGACTATATACAAATATTTTTCTTTGGGCAATAAAAGTAAGTGAAAACACTGCCTTGCCTGATATTGTTTGCAATTTTGCCTTTAGCTCAATGTGTTGCATTTTCTTTGGTCAACTGCTGCGCTGCGCAGCTCAAACTCAGTCAACATTATCATGTACTTCCACACCTGTTCGAAAACACCAGGGAGTTTCCTTAATTTTGTAACTGAAATAGGCCTTGTAGATGAATTAAAGTTGTGTTCCACAATCATATGGAAACATTACAGTAGTGTATGCCTAGGCTTCAAGACAATATATGTTCATTTTTCATGATGCTTGCCGCCCAAAAGAAGGATAACTATTGTCATTGTTTATGAGAAGTTCATGACCTGAACTTATCCATTGTAATTCTGCATTTTATGTTATATACATATTCTGTTGCACCTATATAATGCTTCAAAGTGGAGATGTATCCTGTTTTCTCTTCTAGGGTGGAATTTCTTCTTGGAATTTGCTAAACACAATCCTATTGGAATTATGACCATTTCCCCAAAGGATACAAGAACATGAGGAAAGCCTACTTTCCAGCGCTGGCAACAAGCCCCTCTCTAGAAAAAAAGAGTGTTCACACATGTATAAGATGCGTCTGTGTCTTTTTACCAAGCTGAGGCATCATCTCCTGAAATGGCAGACTCTCCTCGCGCGTACTTCAACTGAGCGTACCTTGCTCGGCGTGAAAATGTTGAAAATCGTACTTCAACTTTCATCGGATCATCGGTCTCATCGTAAGCAAACGGAAAGACCCGCTGAGAGGCTTGCCAATCCTCCAAGTGGCTCAAGCTTTCAGGATTGGCGACATCGTACACCTGCAACAACTACAACAACTGCAACAAACCGAACCTGTCTTCTCAGCTACAGCAGCATAGCAGCTACAGCAGCATAGCAGCTACAACTTCATTGCTCCGCAGGCTCCGCAGCATACAGCAGCATGAAAATCAAGGCGAGGTGCGAGCATCATGGCATTGGCCGTCTCCCATTGTGGCCTCAACGAATCCTTCGGATGGAGAGGAGTGAACCAAGCGACAGGCAAGGAAGGCAAACTGTTCTTGACTCTTCCGACTCAGGATAGTCAGGATGGTTTTTACATGTTTTTACACTTCCGGCACTCTCTGTTGCACTCAACACAAATAGAAATTTCAGCGTCCTGGCACACAGAAAAACCACCACAATCCACGATGTACCTGGAACGACACCTATGCCATAACATACTGTAGATCTCATGACCTAACATAGATCTCTGTATATATATATATGTAATACATTATAGAATGTATGAATGTATGAATGTATGAATGTAGAATGTATGTATGAATGTATGAATGTATGAATGTATGTATGTATGAATGTATGAATGTATGAATGTATGTATGTATGTTGCGGTATGTATGTATGTATGTATGTACGTACGTACGTACGTATGTATGTATGTATGTCTGTGTGTATGTATGTGTGTATGTATGTATGTATGTATGTATATATGTATGTTTGTATGTATGTTTGTATGTATGTTTGTATGTATGTTTGTATGTATGTATGTTTGTATGTATGTTTGTATGTATGTATGTATATGTATGTATGTGTATGTATGTGTATGTATGTGTATGTATGTGTATGTATGTGTATGTATGTGTATGTATGTGTATGTATGCGTATGTATGTGTATGTATGTGTATGTATGTATATGTATGTATATGTATGTATATGTATGTATATGTATGTATATGTATGTATATGTATGTATATGTATGTATATGTATGTACATGTGTATGTATATGTAAATGTATGTGTATGTGTATGTGTATGTATATGTATATGTATATGTATATGTATATGTGTATGTATGTATGTATGTATGTATGTATGTATGTATGTATGTATGTATGTATGTATGTATGTATGTATAGAGAGTAGACAGATACTATACATACTATACATGAAGAAAGAGGTATAATATATATACATATATATTATAGTATATTGATAGTATAGTTGGACATGGAGCTTGTATTTTCCTTCACCCATGACACGGCGCTAGCACCACAGCTTTGAGGCTCACAGCTCCACGGCAACATTTGTCTCAGGAATGTTGACCTTGTTGAAATATTATGAAACAGGACTTCAATTTTGTTCAAACATGGGACGGGATCAAGATGGATCAAGCAATGTCCAAATGGAGGAAGCTACAAATTCTGCAAACACACAATGGTCCAACCAGTACAGCACAAGACTTCGCCAGCCATTCGCAACAAATCGTTTCACATGGTTTCACAATCATGTTTCAATTGATCTTGAACAACTGAGTTCAGCATCCAGAGCCAAGAGACACGCTTCACAAGGAAGTCAACGCCTATTGTCATGTTGTAGTTCTTGGGAAAGCTTTGCGCACCTCCCTGGGCAGACGGGAGATTTTGAGCCGATTTGGATCTGAAATTGTTCTAAATTGCCTTTTACATCATTTTACATCCTGGCAACACTGCCAAAATACATTGAATCCGATTGGAATCCCATTCCCTGAGTGGATCTTTTCAACGTTGCTACATGCGTTCGCCCTCTGGAAGCCTTGCCTGGAACACTTTGGCCAGTGAAGTCTTGCCTTGGAGACAAGGCTGCAAAATATCGTTTTCGTTGAAGGGATACTGAAGGGATGCTGACAGGTCTTCATGCCCCAAAAAGTTCAAAATGGTTGAATATCGATGAATATCGATGAATATCGTAAGTGTAAAGAATGTTAAATCTCTGAACCTGAGAAGGTTGGAACGAAAGCCAATGCACTTTTGCCGCCTCAAAATGGCATCATGTTGTTTGTAGGGTCCCGTTTCGAATGGAGAGCTGTGGTGTATGTGTTCACTGCTGGGAAGACTTGCAAACAAGATTCATCAGGAAAGTGATTAAGCATTGAATCAATCATTGGGAGGGAGGTTTGCTGGGAGGTTTCGAGGGAGTGATTTGAGCAGTGGATTGAAAGAGTAGGATGGAGTGGGGGCAAACAATGGGAGTAAACTTCTTTTGTCCAAGGTTGTCCATGGGTGGAAGTGTGTGAAGATGACTTGCGTGTGTGTCCTCATTTTCTGCGTTTCAATGCGGCACTTGTATGGGAGAAGTACAGAAAGATGTCTCGACTATAAACTCTTGGTTCTTAGCAACAGCACTTCCTCTCTGTGGATAAAAAACCACAAAAATGGCATTGTAATGTTTGTAGTTCCTCGCTCGGAAGGGAGAGATATGGCGCATTAAGGTGCTACAGTCAGTTTCTAGGAGGCATGTAAACCGGTAAGTCACTCAACATGTCTATTATATTTATATATTATCTATATATAATGATTTATAACATGTCACTGGGGCATATGGAACTCTTGTATTGATGTTTTTCTATGCTTCGCCGCGGCGATCTCGCATCAACATGCCAGACTAAAAGATAATGTCACATCGTCGTTGGGACTGGCGACATCTGCATACGGAACTCTGAGCTTAGTCATACAGCAGCTTTTGGACCGGTGGCTGTGCGGTTCATCTTGCGAAATCATTTAAATCATATTGGAACTGCTGCCATCATATGCATATGTTGTGGGAAGCCTAGTTCCTGTAACAGTGAGCACAAAAAAAACACCAGAAAAACCACGATAAAAAGTGAAAAAATGGAGGTTTGTTTTCCAAAAGTGCCGGCTTCAAAAAGCCATCTGTTTTGGAGCTGCCCTTTTTAGCGCGCTGCCTGAAGTGACATAATCATTTTGGAAGCATGATGTGGCATTTTGCATTGACTTGTTCCACCAAAAAGTTGGAAAATAGAATGGCATCCAAGATTCAAAACGCACACTTTGTATGTTGAAAACCCCACTGGAGATTCCTAATGCAGATTTTTAGTTGTCAACGACTTTCTTCAAGTGAGCCCTACCAACTGACACTCTACCTGACATAATATGGTCGGGCATCAAAAGCGACATCTTATCGGACATTCTATCTAACATCTTACCTGAGATACAATCCGGTTTCTTGCCAGACATACTATTTGAGCCAAAAAAATTGGGCCATGGGGTAAAAACTATTTCGGCAAGAGACCCCAAACAGTGTGGTGGAGTGGGAGGATAATGTATGACAACGTTGTTGTTAATGTTGTGGATGATGAGGATGATGATGATGATGAAGATGATGAGGAGGAGAATGTCGCAGACAATTATGTTGAGGATGATGATGCTGAGGAAGATGAGGTGGAGGATGATGATGTTGAGGAGAATAATGGTGAGGATGATAATGCGGAAGATGAAGTGGAGGATTTTAAGGTGGAGGATGATGATGTTGAGAAGGAGAAAGATGATGATGTTGAGGGCGACAATATTGAGGGGGATGACTTGACTAAAAAAGATAATAATGGGGCAAGGACCAACATTATGTCTACTGACCAAGACTTCGCTTGGGTTCCACAAGAGCTTCTCACAAGGACCTGTACAAAATCATACAAGGATGTCCTAAGAGGGTTTCATTAGGATCTCTAGAAGATCTTCTTACAAGGACGTGCGCAAGATAATCTCATGAGTATCTCTGGAAGATCTTGCAAGGACTGGTTCAAGAGCGCACAAGGACCTCTTGAGAGGAAATCATGAGGATCTCTGCAAGATCTTCGCACTAGGACCTGTACAAGATCATGCAAGGACATCCTTTATAGGAAGATTTCATCAGGACCTCTAAAGGATCTTCTTACAAGGACTTGTACAAGATCATGCAAGGTCCTCTGGAGAAGATTTCAGCCGGGTCTTTGCAAGGATCTTCGCACAAGGATCTCTACAAGATCTTCCCACAAGGATCTCCATAATGAAGATCACGCAAGGACCCCTTGAATGGATTTCTGCAAGATATCTCTACAAGGATCTTCGTACAAAGATCCCTAGAACATCTTCGCGCAAGAATCTCTTGACGAGGAGCTCTACAAGATCTTCCTCACAAGGATCTCCGTCAGCTCTTTTCGCAAGGACCTGTACAAGATCATGCAAAGACCTCTTGAAAGGATTTCAGCTGCATCTCTGTAAGGTATCTAGGGAGATCTTCTGTTTCAAACTTTCAGACTACATTCCGTGTCAAACCTGCTGTCCCACTGTCCTCGAAGAAGGCGAAAGGATCCACCATGGGCGGCCCTCCGGGGGACCAGGGTCCCGAATACTAAACGCAAGTAAAACTGATGTTTTTTTGCTTTTTTTTTGTTTTTTCCATTGTTTTTTCTTGTAACTGTGACCACGGGCCAAAGCACGAGAAAAAGCACGAGAAAAAGCACGGCTACAAGAGAAAAAGCATGAGAAAAAGCATGAGAAAAAACACGAGACAAAGCACGAGAAAAAGCACGAGAAAAAGCACGGCTACAAGAGAAAAAGCATGAGAAAAAGCAAGAGAAAAAGCACGAGATAAAGCACGAGAAAAAGCACGAGAAAAAGCACGAGAAAAAGCACGAGACAAAGCACGAGAAAAAGCACGAGAAAAAGCACGAGAATCACGAGAAAAAAGCATGAGAAAAAGCAAGAGAAAAAGCACGAGAAACAGCACGAGAAAAAGCACGAGATAAAGCACGAGAAAAAGCACGAGAAAAAGCACGAGAAAAAGCACGAGAAAAAGCACAAGAAAAAAGCACGGGAAAAAGCAGGAGAAAAAGCACGAGCATAGAGGCAGAGTAAGCGGGAATATCACATATCACTTCTTTGAACGCAATATTTCGTCACAAAAAACAAATGCTGAAGCGGCAGCAGCTTCCACAACTCAGAGACAACATTGACAGCGTGTAGATGTCTAGCCTTACGTTCTCTTTCAATACATCAAAAATGACCTTCTGCGCAGGACGAAAATTGCATCCGGTATCCAAAGCATTTGCACAGCTTGCCAATGCCAATGTGACAATGCACAACCCCGTTGAGAAACCATTGCGTTCTAGGGCCATCGACTACGATGTCTAGTGTTTAAAATTGTGGCAATGTATCAACATTGATATGATATAAATATGCATTTTAATTGTTACATTACATTACTGATACTCTACGGGACACTCTTTGGCCCCCTTTCAGGACTCTAGAGACCCCACATCATACACTCAAGAGTCCCGAAAGCCAAAATTGCTATTTGTTTGCTTCGCTAAACCGGAAAGGAAAAAGTCTAGCTAAAGTGAATGGAACCTTCTTTTTTTATTGCCAAGTTGCAGGAATCGCTCTTGCCTCTTCCAGTCGTGTGATCTGGAGAAAGAATCTATGGTAAATCAGCATACGGCCGGTTCCACGCATCAGCGGAACGGCCACACTCCGGCAGGCTATGGGCAAAACGTGCGAAAACCATAAGGGTCTCATGTGACACCCATGGCCGAGCCCCTCTACTTGTTCCGTAAGGGAACTGTACACCGGACCAACTACATTTTCTGGCCAAAAAAGTGGCAGAATTGGGAAAAAGCTGAATCTTCTGTTTCTTGACGACACGCATGAAATGTCTGATCCAATTGACCACATTGATGAAGCGACCGCTGAACCCTTTGATCACCTCAGGAGGAGGAGATTTCACTCTCAACCAGAAATAAATACCCAGTTCATATACTGAGACAAAGGTATCTTCAGCACGCCTCCATTTCAAAGTTTGGAAAAAAATCAGAGTTTCAATCCACATCGCATCAGAGTAGCCCCAATCTCTGGGACGGCACGGGGCGTTCTCCATATTCCAATCATAAAGAATTTCAGCATGATGCCAATCCCATTTTGGAAAACGATTGATATAGTCGATTTCATCTCTCGCGTCCACATTGTCAACCACATGGTCAGCATTTGCCAGTCCATGTTGACGGTTATCATCTTGATTTACATACTGCAAGAGTTTTGACAGCCGACACAGCCACGATTGTTGAATAGCAGTGTGTTGCATCCAAGATTTCACCAGTGCCGGCGGCACCGGCATAGCAGTCTTGGCTACCTGAGTAGCCTCATCTTTCGCCAATTTCCACAGCCCAGAAAAAATCTTTTTGTTGGCATCTTCAACCTCATTGATTGAAAAAACATTTAATCTACAAGACCGACCCTGTCCGATGAGGTGGAAAATCTCACTCCAGAGATCAAGGTAGGCAGTGTTGAGAGGAAGGACAGTCAAGCCCTTCAGCCGTTCCCACGTTTGAATCAAGGCAGCGCATCGCGTAAAAAAGTTGATCTTCTTTGAAAATTTTCGCACCATACTCAAGAGAATCCATAGTTCCGCTTTGACCGCACAGCTCCAAGGTTCCAACGTGGCAAAACGCCACACCACCTCACCCTGAAGGTTAACAACAGCAGCTCCCAAAGTTCGAGTAAACACGTGTTTTTTGTTGAAGACCAAACCACAACCAACGAGTGAGAAATGATCAGAATGACACAAGCCACCAGGTAAAGAAGGCATGGTTTCCGCAGCATAGATAGAATCCAGAATATATTGAGGAACCTCAAAAATACCATGAGTCAGAAAATGGGGTTGTTCAGGAAAAACAGACCCTGGATTTCCCAGCATCTTTCTGACCCCTTCACACCGAGTCAAATGCTGGATGTCTTCATGATGAAAATCACAAAATCTGCACTTCGCAGAATCAACCAGATTGCTCTTATAAAGTCTGTTTGCAGTAGGGCAAGCGCCAGTTAAAATACCAGGAGCAATTGAATCATCGAACGACGCGGGACGCCATGGCTCGCGGGGGCCCAGGAAGGTGACTACATCATGGTCAACCACACCGGAACCAGTCCTGTCCAAGTCTTTTCTTGCAGAAGAAATAGCTTGTCGATACAAACATTGGACAGCAGCAAAGTGGCACACTCTTCTTAAACCAGCAATTGACAACTCAAAGAAAGATATTTCACGTCCCAAGCACCGAAAGGTGTGTGGACGCACAAATTCAATTGCAAGAGTTTCGCAAGCTTTGAGGAAGGCATCAACCAGTCCACGGGCTATAGCCTTATTCCGACCACACAACTCCGACCACAAGCAAAAAAAACCCTCATCCCGCTTGCATCGAGCTACAATGTTGCAAATGACTCTGGTGGCAATGGACATGTGGGGATGACAAGCAATGGGATTAGTGCACAAAGCAAAAAGCAACTCTTGATTACGCCACCCTGGTCTGTTGCCCCAAAGAGCTTTGGCTACAGAGTTGACCATACTGTCGATGGTCGCTTTCGGCCAAGGAATCACCTCTGGATGATATAGAAACTTTGACACAGCTTTCATGGAAATCAAAAAAGCTTTTTTGCGAAGAGAAATGGGCAAGTGCTCAATATCATGCAGAATAGCACGCACGCCTTGAGCGGTGTTCTTGGGATCAATGGTAATACGCTTGGCATTCGTCTTGACAAAAGTACCCAATACTGCAAACGTATCATGGATAGGAAGGGCAGGAATTGCATTTGCCAGCTTCTTTTTTGCAGTTCTCGAAGTCGCGAACCCGCTGGATTTGTCAATATTCAATTTTTGGCCAACCAGTTTATCGAAAAGCTTGGTGCCAGTCAAGGCAGCAGCAAGATTCTCAACATTGGATTCCAGCGCAAGCAGATAACAATCGTCGATAAAAGCGAAATGCTCAATCCCAGGAATAGATTCAACAATTGCTGTCCACCCTGTCATCAAAATGTTAATGGCTACCACAGAGGCTGCATCACCTTGAGCCACACCGTTCAAATTGGACAAGCTGGATTTCGATATAGCATGCCCCATGCACAAAAATCTACGAAAATCTTCATAGACCTGCAGCCATACCTTCAAAAACTTGGGATCCATTCCGAGGATATTTGCAAAATCAGCTACAATTCTTGGAATGATGCGATCAAAACATTTTGAGCGGTCAAGTTTGATACCACAAATTGGCTTCTGGAAAGCGATGGCATGCTCACATCTGGCAGCAATGATATGAGCAATGTCAGCAGCTTGTCTTCCCTGAATTCCACCGCATAAAGTTGGCGGAAAGACTTTCTGCTGCCATTCTTGCAAATGATCGAACCGTGCTTTGCTCCACATGATGTACGGGACACACATCAAAGTGATCAGTCTTTTGTCAATGGGCATTAAACTTTTAGCATCCGGTTTTGGCAACATGACCAAACGCGCGCATTGAAAAATGGTTGGCAAACGAAAAGACCCATCTTCAATTTTGTTCCACAAGCGGGCCCACGGTGCAAAAGCGATCGCAGGAAGAGCTTGAAGCTCTGCCGTTCTCCAACCATCAACCCCAGGTGAGGCAGTTTGCTTTCTTTTGTCAACAGCGCTTTTGAGACATTCATCAGTGAGCAAAGGCAAGGAAATTGGGAAAGCTCTCTTTTTCAAGGCATCATGAATCACCTCAAGTACAGGTTCAGAAGGAATATGCTCCTTGTTCGCCTCAAAAACTTCATTCCACTGGCTGGCAGTGGTAAAAAGGCATACCATGTGAGTCAGTGACTGTCATATACCCAAATTCGGAATTCTTGCGCCGCAAATATGTAAAAATGTCAGAGCAGTTGGAAAGAGCAGAAACCTTCATTCTTTGTCTCCATTTCTGGATTCGTTCCAAACGAATTTTTTGAACAAGTTTATCACGAGCAGAAACCAGAAAATCCCACACTTCGGTAACTGTTTCCTGTGAAGGCCAAATGGGCAAAAAAGGGCCCTTCAAAGATTTTACCAATGTTCTGACACGTTTCCAAGCAGCAACAACAATGCTTTCCGCGTGCTGTTTCATCACCGGGCTGGAAATTTTGAAAGATATATCATCAAGGCGGCAAATAGCCTTGGAGATCGCCATCAAAGTCTTGGTGTTTTGGTCTTTTGTATTTTGACAACATGCAAAACGATTGAAAGGTTTCAAATCGGGGAAGGTTCCACGTTTTTGTGACCCATGCTTCCATCTAGCACCCGACATTGTCAAAATTTTAATTGCAAAATCATTGGCAACGGTCATCAGAGATTCAGCTGAAAAAGCATCATTGGTGAGCTCACGAAATTCTTTCTCCCACAAATCTTGCGCAATCTTTGTTCGTTCACTTTCAGATTTCAACTGAGTGAGATCGAAAGACGCATGAGGAACCCATTGCAAATTACTGCTACGGTCATCAGATCGATTGGAAGGCCACTGAAATGTGGCGTCCACGAATGCGTGTTGAAGGCCTTTGGAAACATGGACCTTGACATCTTGCAAATATTGAAGCGCACAGTTATTGAGCAAAATTCCGTCAATGGAGGTGGCAGGACCACCAACCCAAGCACTATCCCTTGAATATGTAATGGGCCGACACATCCCATCTTCATTGAACTGTGTCAACACATCATGAAAAGCTCCAAACGACATAGCCTCAGCGATGCATGGATACATGTGAGGTTCAGCCTGAAAGTCAGCGGCAATGGCAATCGGAATTTCACCATGCTGGGAAAGCCATTCAAAAATGTCCCTGAAAAGTTGATTGGTGCGAGCCATTTTGCTGGAGTCACTCTGAGCACCAGAAAAACCATAGACCGACACCAACAACAAAGTCAAACGGTCAGAAACAGCCACCCACGCAGCAGTGCATCTACCAGAAGCCACAAGGTTCTGATAAATCCTGGAGCAATCATCTTTCGGATCATAGGGCTTGCTTGAACCACAGGCGGAGGCAATGGCAACTCCCCCATATTCAGGTAGGCCCCCCGGCAAATATTTCATCAAAGCGCCATGATGCAAGGTCAAAGAATTGTTTGAAGCCTCTAAATTAACTTTGACCAAATTGTAATTTGTCACTCTGGTTTCCTGGATCGCAAGGCAATTTGTCTTGTGCATAAGTGCCTCTGGGTGTTTCTCAAGGCTTCCAACGTTGATGGAAGATAACGTCCAACCCTCGCCAGGAAAGCCGCAAGAGGAGTCGAATTGGCATCTCGAATTGGGAGGCCAAGCAGGCGAAGAATTCACCGCAATTTCTACTTGAACATGCACCAGATAGGGCCTGTGCCTATCTACAAACAAAAAGCTGTTTCCGTTGAAAAAGCCAGAAACACACAACACCATAAAACGATGCCAGCTCTTCGGAAAGCACCTGAGAGTATCAAATATGCGACCATCAGCCATCAAAAATGGAACGACCCAAGTCATTGCCAAACACAGCAAATGCGTCCATTGAACATAAACTTTATCAAAACTGTGACCCCGAAAAAGGGGCCAAATCGCTGCAAGCATCACCAACAAAACTGCTCTGAACCTGTTTCCGACCCGACCGAAAAAAGCAGGATCCCGGGGGATCTGCTCAGGCATAGAAGAACTCGGCAAAGTCTGGAAACAGGCTCGATTTTCAATGAAGAGTCACTGATTCCTTTGGGATTTCGAGGGTGGCGTTTCACCCGTGTGGCCGTCTTGGCGAGCTCGGAAAGAATGGGCTTCACTTTTGGGCACAACCGCAGCAAGGACCTGCTTCAACTGATCGGAGACCACATCAAATTTGTCGTCAATCTTCTTTGACAACTCTACTTGGCCATGCTCCAACTTCGAAACTCGATCGGCCAATTGCTGATACTTTCGGTCATCACCCGAAACATTGATCTGTGTGGCACTTGTTGCATTCGCGGCTGGTCCTGAGGAACCTTTGCCATGGGGTGACTTAAGTCTCCATGGTTTGGGCACCGACGCAATGGAGCCATTGAATCCGCTCTTCTTCTTTGGGATTTGAATCTTGTTCGAACTTTGAGGGGTCATGACAATTTCAAAAAGTTTGGAATCCATCTTTACCGTGAAAGTATTGCATGCTGGCTGCTCTCCAAACGCAAGGACCCACGTAATCATGCCGCCATCTCTGTAACTGCGCAGTGGAATCGGGGCCGTCTTCACAGCAGTGAACGTGGCTTCGATGAGGCTTTTGTGAGAGATGGCCCAAGGGTACCCCTGACAAATGAACACATATTTGCTGACCACAGCCCTGTTGAGGTCGGTGAACCTCATGTCTGTTTGCAAAACCAAAGCACGAGCATCAGCCAACTTCGCATTGCTGGCACGAATAGCCACACCTTTGGCTGTCAAGGCTAGCCCTCTATATCCATCCCCTACCGATTCACCCAGAAGTTTGGCACTACGGACGTCTTCAGGGTTGATTGCAAAATATCTAGGCAAAATCGAGTGATTCGTCTCCTCCTGAGGTTGGATGAATTGTCTCACAAAGAGCTCAGCTTGCCCCGAATGTTTGAGCAGCTCATCAAGAGAGCCATGGGGGATCTTCATCATGCATTGGTGTATGATCTGATCATCAGCGCATTTCATTTTTCGATAGCTATAGATGGACATTTCAGAAAGGGCGATTCCACTGGCTGTGATCAATTTCTTGAAGCAACCCAGAGGGTGATCCTCCATCATCGCAACAGTATTGTGCGTCATGCAACCTGAATGCGTTTCAACAACCAGTTCGGAAAAGCTAGCAGAATCAACATTGACAACACCTGGTGTTTCTTCAACTTTGTACTCCACATTTCCTTTCAGCACGAAAGGAACAACAAGTCGCTTGTACTGAACATTCGAAGCAGGTTCCCTAACCGTAATTTGCTCCGATGCCAGCATCATCAAATTCTTGGGAACATCGAGATTCTGCAACCCTCGAAAACCTGGGATCAGCAACAAGGTCGTTAATGATGGGGCTACTTGTGAGAGCTCATGAAGATCAGCCTTAGTGACAAAGACCACTCCTCCTTTGTCGGGCCCCAGCTGGACCCCGGGGATTTGGTTAAGACGTTTGCCAGTGTCTTTGCAAAACCATGGGTGGTTCTCCATCAACTGAAGCTGATCCCACCGGCATCCACCATTCGATGGGACAATCTTGGCCCAAGGATCATTCTGCTGCAAAAAGTCACTTGAATTTGTTTTTCCTTGTGCTTTGCCATTTCCTTTGCCCCCTCCCGGAAGAGGAAAAGCTCTCAAACGAATCAAAGGAATTTCAATTTCACCAACCCTTGTATCCAGAGAAACGAGCTTCCCGTTGACTGAAGGTGAGATTCGATCAATCAAAGCATTGGGCTGAACGGCAACCTGCAACACATCGCGAATCAGGCAGTTGGGGGTCGCCTGAACAAACTTCGAAGAACCTCCTAAAAGGACAACTTCAACAACCAAAGATTCACCTACCTTCCGTTTGGTTCTCTTGGAAATGACAATGTGCATGTTCTGTAATTGCGCCAGCAGCATTGCAGGCTCACGCTGACACTCCCCATCGAAAAAAAGGAAGTCACAACAAGCTTCGGGCGCAATGCCACACTGCTCCGCAACATCCTGAATGGAATCATACAATGCGCAGTGAACATCACATACGACACCATCAGGCTTGACTACATGGACAACTGTGCGCAGACTGAGACCAAATTCTGATTGTGGAGATTCTGGCCATGTTGCTGTGATTGATTCTTCACCTACCGTACTCGGACACTCAAACCGATCATTGCATGGCAAAAACACAGGCGTAACCTCAGCACGTTTGTCAGCAATGACATCCTGGTGGAAAAAACACTTCTGCAAATCCTCGCTCCAGAGCCCAAACAAAGGGATGACATGTTTCTGCATTCCCAAAGATTCGCACAACTCTCCCACTGTGGTACCATGTCGAACCCCAAAACATGATGAGGACTGGTTAGGCCACACCACTTTCCAAAAGCAATCAGCATCTTCATGAAAAACAGAATCGCTCTTAATGACATCTCGCGTCATCAAGAAATCTCTTGGCTTGAGAATTGCGAACCCCTCATCGGCTTTGACAAACACAGCTTTCTTGGAAGTAAGTCTGGAGTCCCACATCTGAAGGAGCAATGATTGGATAGGCAAAGGTTCATTGCGTTGTGTGAGAAGATCTATCGCTAGCAAAGTTGCCAATCCTGCATGAGGAAGAGCAGTACAATTTCCGAGGACTTGGTACATCATCTCATGGTCTTTCGGGAGGAACAGGTTGATCCTATTTCCTAGCAAAGCAGTCCACATCCCTGGCGACTGAAACGCAACTCTGCCCTGAGAGTCAATGACCAAATCTGCATAAATGCCCTGATGTTTCAATGTGGAAGAAGGCAAAAAATGCTGAGTGGAATACGAAGCAAGGCATGTTTGTAGCGGTTGATCTCTTGGGGCCAGTCTCAACAAAAGCACTTGACTGCTAGTGGCGTTCTCATCGCATCTATTCCGCTTACAGCAAGGCAGAAGCTCAAAGCATGCGTACGAAGGCATCAAATATTGGTTGATAATTAGAGCATCCTCTAACACCTTCGGAATAGCAAACTGGTTTTCAAGAGCATGCCATGGACTCACGAAACCCTCGTGCAAATTGAAGGCTGCCTTCAGCACTGGATGATTGTCATCAAGGTCATTACGGAGCAAAATCCCGAGCCATCGGCTACGGGTGTTGTCAGTCAAATCCTTGGCATTGACCACTTGCGACCAAACCAACTGATAGCCTGCCCACTTTGCAAAACTTTCAAAAATCCTAAAGTGCTCATGGGATTGAAACGCATACACATTTTCCATCAACAAGGCCATTGGCCTGATGATTCTGGCTGCTTTCAAGACATGAACGACCACTCTGCCATCCTTGGCATTGAACCCGCTTGGCGAAAGATTGGCGCTGGAAAAAGGTTGGCACGGGGTCGACACAGTCCAAACAAGGTTGCAAGGATTGTGCATGCTACTCATCCACACATGTTGTTCAATCTGAGCGCAAACCACGGTGTTACGTTTGAGCGACTTGGTGATGGATCCCCATGGAAAAAACACTATTTGAGCATCACAAGTGCGAGCAGCCAGTCGGCAGATTTGCTCATCAGAGTCAACAGCTACACTTGACACCACATGAAATCCTACGATGGTTTCTTCACAGAACTGAACAGCCTGACCCCATCCATGAAAGGCACCGGAACACAAATGAGCAAAGTTGAAAACTCCTACAGGGTCTGCAAAGGCAGTAATCCACATATGCTCACAAGACCGGATGGTCGCAACACGCTTTTCATATGCAAATGACAGACTGGCACGACAAGCAAAAAACTGACCAATTTCAAGACTCCAACACGGCAACTGCGGCACATGAAGCGTAGCAGCACAAACACGTTTGACTTCACGACAAGGGCCAGACAAGTGCATGAAATTGACAGGTAAGCCTTGGTCTAAAAGCCACACTTCAAATTCAGTCGACCACTGGGAAGCGACCTCAAGATGAAGAAGGCAATCACCTTTCCAAGCACGTGGATCGTCATCTACCAAAAATTGACACTGAGTCACAATATCATCCAGATCATTCAACGCAGAACGACACAAGGAAGCAAACGCCATCTGTCCCAAATTACAACTCCAGCTCAGCCGTCAAGCACAATGAAGCGCAGAACCACACAATCAATCGGGGCAACTGAAGAGACAGTTGTGGTTGACAAGTGACCCAAATGTAGCCACCTCCCGGGCCCCCAGACCCTGAAACCGAATGGCTGGTGAGCCAGACAGCTTAGTGAATGGAACCTTCTCCTTTACCTTGCTGTTAGAGGAAATAATCAAAAACAACAATTGAGTTGGAAAATGTGATGTATTTTATGGATGTGTTACTGTTTCTTTCCTTCCGCAATTGTATCTTGAGACCGGTTTTGGTCAATTTGACCTTCTAGGGCTGTTGATTACAATGCATAGTGTTTAAAAAGGTGCCGCTTTATCAATTACTTTTCACCACATACCACGTGGACACATTGATATGAATTATATATTGATTATATTGACATTGATTTACTGATCACTGATTTACATTACATTTCTGATACTCTACGGGACACTCTTTGGCCCCCTTTCAGGACTCTAGAGACCCCACATCATACACTCAAGAGTCCCGAAAGCTAAAATTGCTATTTTTTTTGCTTCGCCAAACCAGAAAAGAATGAAAAACGGAGAGGAAAAAGTCCAGCTTAAGAAAAGGAAATGCATTAGAAGCAAATTTTGTGAATGGGCTATTGCTTCTTTTCTTCTGCAATTGTTTTTTGTGACCTTTTTTGGTCCTTTTGGCTTCTGGGGCCCTTGAATACTCTATCTTTGGCTTGTAGAGTTTTCAAAGAGGGCCACAAGCCATAGAGTATTCCACAATGTATAGCGTACATAGGGTACATAAAAATGTGAAATGTGATATTAAGACTTTCATTTTATTTTACTCTTTCATAACATCATGTATTGGCTGTATTGGCGAAGCATATACTGTACTCTAGTGACTATCCTGTGGGAAGCCCAGTCCCTGTAACAGTGGAAAAAATGTTTTTAATTTTAACTACCACCCCAGGGGGAGCACAAGCAAATCCCGTTTTTTCAAAACTATCTTTTGCAACTTCTAAAAGTAAAACTAGGAACCTGACAGCTAAGGCAATTTTTGGTTTTCTTAAGTCAACACCTGTGGAAACACTAAAATCAGAAAAACCTTGGGTCTAACATACTGGAATTTAGTGTTCCCACAGGTTGTTCTGAATTTAGTGTTTCCACAGGTGCTGATTTGAAGAAAAGAAAAAACTTTGCTGTCTTAGTTGTCAGGTCCTTACTTTTACTTTCAGAAGTTGCAAAAGATAGTTTTGAAAAAACGGGATTTGCTTGTGTTCCCCCTGGGGTGGTAGTTATAATTAAAAACCATTTTTCCACTGTTACAGGGACTAGGCTTCCCACAATGCATATGCATGCTGCGCCCAGTCAACATCACCCGGCTCTTGGATTTGTCAGTTTGCTGCACGTGGTTTCCAACCATTGCAGACACAATTAGGTTGAGAGAATGCAAACCTCTTCAGTTCCACTTCCTTAGTAACTCTCTTGATGAACATGAAAAAATTGAGATGTTCTGCCTCCTCGCCCGGTCTGCACACCCCCTAATCTGCCAAAAGCAACTTTTCTCGGCCATTTGCTTGGCTTTCATGATGATATTGTAGAGAATGCTAAATCTGGTTACTTCTATTTGTCTTCTAGAGAATACGTACTTGTAAATTAATTCACCATTAGTTCAGGGAATTACGTTACCATTTCGTAATTCACCGGCCATGTTGTAAATGCTTTTGCTAAATCTTTGAATGGTGAATATATGTCTTAATTTAATCCGGTTGTATCTGGTTTCTTAATATTTCGTCCAGAGCTCGACGTCTCGAAGGTCACTGAAACGATCTTGGGGCGCTTGCCAGCTGCCGAGTCCCCGAGCAACACCACTTTGCACCTGCTTGGGGTCACAATTCACATGTACGTCGTCACGTCGTGGTCAAATGTGGTCAACATGCCAGGATTTGTGACTCTTGAAGACTCTTGAAGACTCTTGAAGACTCTTGAAGACTCTTGAACCTCACGAGGAAAAGTAGAGTTGACTCGGTTGACTCCAATATTCAACTGTCAACAAGACCCAGCCTCAGAACAAGAGGTGGAGGCTGCACCTCAAGAGTTCAAAGGCAGATTTAGAAATTGTATACTGACATATACTGACTGTCAGAGGCTGTCAGGTGTGACTGTCACAGTGATGTCTGGTGCTAATTTTCTGCTGAAGCAGAAGACCACACAAACAACTGAGAAGACAGCAAGGGCGCCAAAAGGATTGCTACCATATGCCTAACCATGAGAGGTTTCACATCACTTACAACCACTTACCACAACTGAAGAGAAAACTACAATAGTTTTTAGTCTTTAGTTTTTACTGATCCACTGATCTTGGCTGGGTGTTTATAACTGATGTAAACTGGGAGTGTTCATGCAAAGCTTCTCAAGTCTCGTGCCTCTCCACCTTCTTCAGGAGGGGGCGGCGGTGGCGGTGGAGGCAAACCTATGTCACTCATGGCCCAAGGGATGGCACTTTTTCGCCTTCAAACTAAAGCCGTGAAGCCAAAAGCAGAAGTGGCACAAAACATTGAGTAAACGGATGCTAGCATGACTAGCATGGTACTCTTTCGACAACTCTAGCCAAAAAACACGGCCCACATATCCCTACACGCTGCTGCTGTTGCAGAGTGCAAATGCGCTGCAATTCCTTTTGCGGTCAGACTCCGTCCCTGCTTAAACTGCATGAAGGAGCGACTTGTGGTCGGCATGTATGAACTCAGTGCACTTTTTGCACTCAATTTTCTGCCCTGCCGTACATTTGAGAATGAATGTTTTTGTACAGAGACCAAAGCAGAATCCAAGATGTCCACCCTTCGCGCCATTGAAGGAGGCATGTCCACTGCGGCACCTAGAAAGCTGCGAACCTCTCAATCCGTTAGCCCAGTCTCCTTTGCGCATTGCTTGCTGGTATAGAATAGATGTGACAACGTATGCTGGTTCAATGTGGGTACAACATCCACAAACATCTCCTGTTTGAAGGCATTCCCTTGTGGTTCCATCATAAAGCACGGGCGTCAATGTCTCCTGTTGCCGAGGCATTGGCTTGCTGCACTGAATCTGGCTGGATGATGGAAGCATGGCCATCTTTCTTCTGCATGTGGCACTCAACCTTGCTCGATGATTGAAGCACGGCCATCCGTGTCCCCTGTTTCAGAACCACTGGCTTGCGGCACTGAGTCTGGTTCCATGACTGCAGCACGGCCATCCATGTCCCCTGTTTCAGAACCATTGGCTTGCGGCACTGAGTCTGGTTCCATGACTGCAGCACGGCCATCCATGTCCCCTGTTTCAGAACCACTGGCTTGCGGCACTGAGTCTGGTTCCATGACTGCAGCACGGCCATCCATGTCCCCTGTTTCAGAACCATTGGCTTGCGGCACTGAGTCTGGTTCCATGACTGCAGCACGGCCATCCATGTCCCCTGTTTCAGACCCATTGGCTTGCGGCACTGAGTCTGGTTCCATTACTGCAGCACGGCCATCCATGTCCCCTGTTTCAGAACCACTGGCTTGGGGCACTGAGTCTGGTTCCATGACTGCAGCACGGCCATCCATGTCCCCTGTTTCAGAACCATTGGCTTGCGGCACTCTGTCTGATTCCATGACTGCAGCACGGCCATCCGTGTCCCCTGTTTCAGAACCATTGGCTTGCGGCACTCTGTCTGATTCCATGACTGCAGCACGGCCATCCGTGTCTCCTGTTTCAGAACCATTGGCTTGCGGCACTGAGTCTGGTTCCATGACTGCAGCACGGCCATCCATGTCCCCTGTTTCAGAACCATTGGCTTGCGGCACTCTGTCTGATTCCATGACTGCAGCACGGCCATCCGTGTCCCCTGTTTCAGAACCATTGGCTTGCGGCACTCTGTCTGATTCCATGACTGCAGCACGGCCATCCGTGTCTCCTGTTTCAGAACCATTGGCTTGCGGCACTGAGTCTGGTTCCATGACTGCAGCACGGCCATCCATGTCCCCTGTTTCAGAACCATTGGCTTGCGGCACTCTGTCTGATTCCATGACTGCAGCACGGCCATCCATGTCCCCTGTTTCAGACCCATTGGCTTGCGGCACTCTGTCTGATTCCATGACTGCAGCACGGCCATCCGTGTCTCCTGTTTCAGAACCATTGGCTTGCAGCACTGAGTCTGGTTCCATGACTGCAGCACGGCCATCCATGTCCCCTGTTTCAGAATCATTGACTTGCGGCACTGAATCTGGATGGACCATGGAAGCAGGATCGAGGCTGTTGGAAGACAAGATCTGGTTGGTTTCATCACTTCTTGGCTCAGGAGCATTTTCTGCGGATGGTTCTTGTTGAGCTTCTTCTGCGTTGAGAGGCTCGGGATCGTCTTCAAGTCTTCGTGCTCGCAACACAGCTAGAGGCAAAGAAGTCTCCTTAAATTCTGCCACGAAGAGTTTCGAGACCGCTTTGATCAATGCTGCAAATCAACAAGCATCTGTTTGCAGGCAAGCAACAAACAATGACAAAGGGTCAACGGCACCCGGACTGGAACCTGAGGTTACACGACTCGTCGTAGACATATGAAAAAATAAGGTCTATCTACAATGCTTTATCACTTCCCTAGCCTAGCCAGCTTTTGTCGGCGCGAAGTGGAAAAGTTGTGCGTCAAAAGCTGTGCGTAAAACCACAAAACGGTGACATCTTGACACTTGTTAATGTATAACTTTCAATTCAAAAGGACCTCACACAACTTGCGGAGGTTCCCTTTAGATCCCATAGATCCCTTTACCACAGCTCTGACTCCCGTCCAAAGCCTGAGTCAATGGGCACCAAAGTGCTGATCGGAGATGGGAGGCCCAGCCGCCCACTGAGCCTGTGTCACTGACGAAACTTGGTGATATACCGCTATTCGGGAGCAGACATCTGCAGCAACTACTAATGCAAAAATTCAATACAGTTCAAGACAAACTGCACTAAGGCTTCTTATTTGATGTTTGATGGTATCCATTTCATTCCATTTCATCATATCCATGTCCAGTTCCACCGGAATTTAACTTCAGACTGCGACTTTGAAACTCATGGTTCCAGAAAGCTTCCTAGCAACAGGTCAACAGTTCAAGAGGAGAAAGCTCGATGAGCTTCCTCTGCCTCCCTGCAGAAGTTGTCTATGCAAAGGACTCAGACAAATTGTGGGGGAAACAAATCGCAAGCGCTGACGTGGAACATTTTTGGCCATTCTGCAACCCGGCTGGCTGACCTGCTTGTAGCGTCGCGAAGAAGCTGATCATCTCTGTACAACTCTTCAGCAGCAAATTCGAGGGCCCATCCTGATCTTCTGAATAAAATTGAAAGAGCGATATTAGTACAGAAAAAATGTGTTTAGGAATATCAGGCAACCCAAACGCAGAACTCTTGTTGTCTGAAGCCGGGCCTCACATTATACAAGTCAATTATTTGGTCAAACGGAGGTCAACCAAGCGTTTGCACGTTCTATGAGTTGCAAGAATCAGGCTTTGGCAATTGACGTCGTTAAATCATGTTGAATCCAAGATTCCATTGGACTTTTCGACGGCCATCACCATAAGCTCTCTGTCCGCTCGCAGGGCCCGACTAGCATATCTCAAAGCTCTCCAATCTGCGAAGTCGGAAGCATCAACAACAAAAGATTTAACACACATAAATGAATATCATATGCAGCTGTAATTGTTGTATATATATAATTGCTAGTAGCATCTCGTAACGCATCTTCCAGATATGAATTCATACCAGGCTTGTTAAATTCATTGGCTTCAACGTTTGTTCGGCCGCTAGCAACAAAAAACTTTGCAAGTCCTGTCTTAGCTTTGCGCGTTTCCGCCTTGTTCAACTGCTTCTTGCACAATTTCGCGGTCACCCCTGTGGAAGGAGTGTCACAAAAGAGTTTGCAAAAATTCACCTTGCAACCTTTTCCATCCTTTTCCAATCACAAATGTCATACGATATCATACGGCTTCAAAGTCATTGGCGCTAGCCTCAAATCCTCGCAGGCAAACTCCAGGGCTTGCCAATTTTGCTTCACTGCACCTGCAGCTACCGATATCATGGCATCCGACGCTGGAGCATAAGCTAAGCAATCAACAGAAACACGTGACAGTTGAAGTGAATGAAAGCATGTGAAAACAACATCCTAGATCCAAGTTGATGGCAGAAACTAGCTCATCCACAAGACATTAACATCTTGGCTTGAAACAGCAAAGCTTTGTTCTTATGTTGTTTCTGCGTGCAACAAAGCTGCAAAGCACAGCTTCCCTATCTCTCTGGATTTCAGCTGGGCAAAACTCCAATTCCTGAGGCGGTAGTTGCCACATGTCACTGGGCGTGCTCATTGACAGATATGCGTAGGTTTCATATGTTTCATATGTTTCATCTCTGCCAAAATTGAGGCCCCATCAGTCCAATCAATCATAACGACGTGCCGCTTGTGCTGTATATATCTCTCACGGAGAAAGGCCCATATCCTCAGCAACTTGAAATTGTCATCTTGAAGTCAGAAAGGTTGGTGTTCTACTTACATGCTTCACATGCCGCGACCAAACACTGCACAAGTGCTCCAGTGATTTCAAAGAGCGTCGCTGCCATTGCTGCACGGAGAAAACAGAGCAGCAATGCCACGGCTTTTTGAAAGCGACTCCATACCACTTCGACAGCCTCGCAACGAAGGCAAGCAGAAGAATCCTCTCTCGAAGACAAGGAAAACACTTTGGGAGACTTGTCAGCCTTAGGATCACGAAATTCGGCGTCTTACCGGCAAAGAAAGTTTGCACCTAGACTATACCTTTACACAGCGACAACAACAACAACAACCAAAGAAAGGCCGAGCAACATTTGTCCTTGCCCGAGACTGTTGCATTTCATCCCATCTTACACATCGGGGCCAGGAAGTTAGACCATCAGGATGTCTAATGTCCAACGTCAGGAGACACACTGTTGCCGCAAATTGAGAAGCTGAATCCTTCATCGGATTTCATCCCTGCAATTGTTCAAACGACTGCATGTGTAAAGCTGAATTGGCTGCAGTGCACTACATATGCACACACAGACACACACACACACACACGCGCGTCTTGGCGCAGCTTTCACCTCCAAAGGGCAACGTGTATCGAGCTGTCACGTTGCTAGCCACTGGTCGCTCGCAATGTCGGCATTTTTACACTGGCAATCTGACTGGATGCACCGGGAAGCTCCCGACGACTCGCTGAAATGCCTTCAATCTTGCAATCGTAAGGAACACAGCATGACGTGCAGAACACATCAGCGCACTCTATCGTCATCTCTGGATGCTTTGGTATCTTTGGTAACTGTTTGTTTGACGTCAGTCTTTCCGAATCTCTCCAATCAGTCCCAGTGTGAGTCCTTTCCATCCAGCGTCTCTTGCTGTATCAGCACCTTGGCTCTTCCCGCTTTTGTTTTGCAGTTGATCCATGATGCTACATTCAGAGCAAAAGGATGGCAGGACAAAAAAAACTAAAGAAAGAATAGCAGCTCAGCAATTTCAAAAGAATGGCAACTTTGCAAAGGAGTTCTCTGACTCCAAGAAATAGCTGCTGCGGCCATGGCCTCTGCAACAGCTGCGTGAAGTGCTCCATTGCGTGAGAGAGCAGCACGGGCTGCCGAAAGAGCCTGCCACAGCACAAGGGCACAAGGGAATGAACAGGGAGCAAGATGGAGCAAGATGAAGCAAGGAGCCAATATGCTAGTGACAAGGAGTAAACTATTTGTAAGCATTCTTGGAAAGTATGCCAACTGTGTTGACGCTCTCTTTCACTACACGATTCGTCGTTTCCTTCTTAGTGAAGATGACAAAGGTAAAGACAGCTCAAAAAGCCTGTGCAACACTTGGAGAACAGCAAACAGCCGAAAAAGTCTCAACAAGGTGAGAAGAAAGCGCCTGGTCAAGCAAGAGTTTCACCTGCAAATTCATGCAACATCTGGAAACAACGTCGACTGACAGCATCTAGTTCGTGTTTCAACAGCTGGTTGCCGATTTTGCCAAGTGTTTTTTGCTTAAAAGAAAAATGTTGGCGCTCAAAGTTGTTGCAGTGAAACAATGCGGATTGGTTCATTTACGTTTGAAAGATACAGGTAGGGTTCAATATGAGAGATACCCCAAAGTTGCATTTGTTTGGGAGAAATGACTGCTTTGGGGCTCTAATTTTTACAACCCCACATGACTAAAGATTTTCTTCCCGCGATTGCTGATGGGGTAAGGCAAAACAAGATGCAGCCCACGAACCCGAATGCAGTCAAGTACAACACTTTTGTGAAACAATTTTTTGAACATGTTTTTACATTTTTCCCCGTTGCCGTACCAGTGCACTGTAGACTGTGCAAGACGGAGGAGTGTGGAGTGCAAAGGTGTGAGGTATGAAGAAAGTGGAGTGTTGAGTGACGACTGCATATGTATAGTGTGAGGTGGGGTTCCTGAAATAGGGGTGCCCCCAAATCATCCAAAATTGGACCATTTTAGTTTTCAAACCCATGGTTTTGGGGATCCTCAATTTTAGGAAACCTCCAAGTGCATATTGTGGAGTGTGGAGTGTAAAGTGTAAGGTGTGCGGTGGAAAGTGCGGAGTGTGGAGTAAAGAGTATGGAGTGTAGAGTGTGGCGTGTAAAGTGTAAAGTGTGGAGTGTGGAGTGTAAAGTGTATAAAGAGTTTAGGTGTACGTGTAGAGTGTGGAGTGTAAAGTGTCGTGTGGGGTGTAAAGTGTAGAGTGTCAGGTGTGGAGTGCGGAGTGTAAAGTGTAAAGTGTAAAGTGTGGAGTGTGGATTGTAAAGTGTGGAGTCTAAAGAGGAAAAGTGTGGAGTGTGGAGTGTGAAGTGTAAAGTATGGAGTGTGGAGTGTAGAGTGTGGAGCGTAGAGTGTGGAGTGTAAAGTGTAGAGTGTAAAGTGTGGAGTGCAGAGTGCTGAGTGTAAAGTGTAAAAATGTAGAGTGTAGAATGTAGAGTAAAAACTGTGGAGTGAAAAGTGTGGAGTGCGGAGTGTAAAGTGTGGGGTGTAGAGTGTAAGGTGTGGAGTGTAGAGTGTGGAGTGTAAAGTGTAGAGTGTGGAGTGGTGAGTGTGAAGTGTAGAGTGTAAAGTGCGGTGTGTAAAGTGTGGAGTGTAGAGTGAAGAGTGCGGAATGTAAAGTGTAAAGTGTAAAGTGTGGAATGTACAGTGTGGAGTGTGGAATGTACAGTGTGGAGTGTAAAATGTAAAGCGTGGAGTGGTGTGTAAAGTGTGAAGTGCAAAGTGTAGTGTGTAGAGTGTGGAGTGTGGACTGTAAAGTGTAGTGTGTGGAGTGGTGAGTGCGGAGTGTGGAGTGTAGAGTGCAGAGTGTGGAGTGTAAAGTGTGGAGTGTAAAGTGTAGAGTGTGGCTTTGCAAAAGGGGTTTGCACCACCAAAGAAGACAGCTTGACTGCTGCAGCCTAATGCGAATGCGGACTCTTGCAGGCCCGAGCAGCGTGGAGAAGAATGTCGAATATCGAAAGTTAATACTAATATCGAATATAGACAGAATAGGTGCATCGAGAATAATGACCCGTGTCGAAGAATAATGCAGACTAATGCAGATCAATGAATGCAGAGCTACCTTCGCATCGACGCGGCTGGTGCGCAAAATCCGATAGCCACGGCTCGGCCGTGACAGGAAGCGAGCGAGGAGCCTCAAAATTTAAGAACCTGAAATTTTGCTACCGCAAAATCGATGTTTCGTGCGAGGCCTCCGTCAATTTCTCACAAAATGCCACGCCTGCCACGGAATTTGCACCTTGTCGCCACAATGCGACTCGCAAAAAAACAATAAAAAACACGCAACACGACTCCCCTAAAGTGCTGCGCCTGCCACGCAAAATGACGATGGAGGTCGCCAAAGTGCTGCGCCTGCCACGAAAACTGGAGCTCATCTCCTGAAAACGTCACAAAAGTAGTGCGCCTGCCACGCAAAACGATTTTCGACACGTTACGAAACACGTCTGAATGTCACGAAGTGCCACGCCTGCCGCGCGAAACGAAGCAACGCGACGTTTTAAACCTCCAAAAATGACCCCTTTTGCAGAACGTACTATAGGCACGGCCATACGGCCCTCACGCAGACGGTTGCGAACGGTTGCGGATGGTTGCAGACGGTTGCGGATGGTTGCGGACGGTTGCGGACGGTTACGGTCGTAAACGCAACGTCGAGCGAACACACCCTTCTCAACCCCCAGACCCCCAGAGTGAAACGAGAACGGTTGCTACGCATTCGGGAAAAACGTCTCGATAAGCATGCAGTTGGGTTCGTGCTGCTGTGCCACTTGTTCCCCGCAAGTTGTGTGTCTTCTTGCAAATGCCATTTGCCAATCAGTGTCTTCAATTCAGAAAAGAGCCAAAGCACCGACAAACCTTGCCTCTGCATCGACCACTGACAAAAGAGCCTGCTTGGATTGTTATCCAAAAAGGACTTCCAAAATGGACAGCTATGAAAAACGTTGGACAACATCTATAAAATGTGCATAATACGCACTGCGATGCAAAGACATGCATGATGTTTTTCTCCAAGACCGGTCCTGAGAAGGCGCCAGGCCAGACTGAAGTGATCTGGGGCCAATGGCCTTCGCAACATTCAACTTCCGTATTCAGGCACCGCGCTACATGCGCTACCGTGCTCTTTCTGTCGTATGAATGTCTGCTATGTATGTCGCGGCATCTGCTCATTGCCGCATTTCTTGCATCTTGGTAAACAAGGTGCAAATTTGCCAAACAAGACTATCTCAAAGCCTTGGAGAGGCCGCCAGCGGCAACCATTTCCGTTGCCATCCTAGTTGCCTTCAGTGGACAGGTCCTCTTGGTACACCCGAAGGGCATGTTGCTAATGAGCTGCTAATGTCTGCACATGCCAGCAGGCAGCATGGTTATGATTCCCGCTTCCTTAGAGGAGGTGCGTCTGAAAAAAAACGCCGTGTCATTGAGTCGCGGGAAGGAAGCAGCAAGGCATCAGTGAGTCACAAGTACAATACAGCAGGGACGAGTGAAGTTCCATTATGTAGAACGTGGCAACGGGTTATACACATGACCTCCATTTTTACAAACTTACAAGATGACATATTCATGTGTCCCTTTATTTGCTAGCACTTACGCATTTATTGCCGTCCTAGCGTCTGTGTGTGTGCGTGTGGCGGCACAGTGACATGCAGATTACTAGCTTTCATGCCGTTGCCATGATGGGTGCAATGGGCAACTCACTTGGTAGTTCATCTCAATCGTGTCCGCCATCTGCCAACTTTGTGACATTCTTTGACTCAACCTGCCAATCTTTGACTCCTTAGAGCCTGGCCATGTCAATGTCAGTTTGGGCACCCATGGTGGCCTGTTCAAAGATGTTGACAATACAATCCTTCACAACGACATACAACGACTGAAGTCTGCAGACGTCGGGCGAATGCTGCATCTTTACGGAATTTCAGAGTTTTTCACAACTTTTCCATGGTAACTGAGCGCCTGCCCCTGTCCCAGAATGATCTCCTGCGGCGATCAGAGATGCGCAATGATGCGCAAGACTTCGGAGGCAGCCACGAGCAAATAGGCAAAGACTTGGTGTTATCATGTTATCTGTGCCTATTCGGGAGTTCTTCTGTGCCTATTGGCGTTATCCCCCAACCCTTGCACCAAAATCACGCACTTTGCAAATCCACGGCCACCAACTCTAAATTGCTGCGATGGGGCTGTATGGAAATCTGTCATGACAATTCAACCAATCCGGTGTCTCATTCAAAGCACTGCCATGCTGATGGGTTCCCATCAACTTCTGCATGGCAGACCGGGTGTTTCACTACGTATACGAATAGGTAACTTATGCTGAAGACTTCAGAGGTGATCAAATCAGGATGCTGTTTTAAGACAATGCCACTGCGTCCCGATGTTACAATCTAAAAAAGGAGCAACAGACTACTGTACAGAGAAAAGAAAAGAGGAGGATAAAAAAGATAAAGAAAGGCTAAACGGCTAAAGAGCAAAGAACTCACAGACTTCAAAAGTTTCAGCTGCACAAAGCATTCGTCTCCTCTGCGGCCCGTCCACCCATGTCAACGGCCAGCATAGCCAAAAGGACTTTGCGAGACTGGGGAATGCGGCTCGCCTAGAGAGATTTACGTTCTGACTGTGGAGGCACAACTTGTTGGTCACTGCAGGCAAGACTTCAAGACGGAATGTCCAGCTACCAGCATATCATATATGAATTCGGACTCCTGCAAATTTTAGAAATCCACATGGTTTGTGAAAGGGTCGTTGCAGATTTCAAAGCTTGAGAGGCAACTGATCCAAACCTGCCTTTTTGATTTTTTTTGTCGGAAAGAATACTTTTTTTGGAATTTTTAAACATCAAAAATGTGTTCTGCGGGGTCGGGGTCGAATGGCATCGGCCTCCTCAGGATCGGCAAACTGCGTTACTCCACCAGTGCCACCTGTCACAAAAATTTGTGCACCAACCGTGGTGGGCTCCTGAAAGGATGGCCTACTATAGCAATCACTCTATCATTACATGTTCACCTATGTATATCATATATATATATATATATGTGGCAGGGACCTTTTGGTATAATGCGACCGTCCTCCTTTCTGATCCCATTTGTTTCCATACTTGTCTCCTTGTCTGTTCCCAACTTGTCTCCTTATTTCTCTATCTCCATTGCGATTCTTCTCTCTGGGTGCTTTCGGTCAAAGGAATCTCCCCTTGTCTCCCGTTCCTCACTTCTCTCTCCATTGCTCAGTGTTCTTCGTTCTGGTGGCTTTGGGACAGGACTCAAGTCCCATCTGTTTTCGTACTCGTCTCTCTACTTCACTCTCACATGTGGCTGTTCTCTCTGGGTGCTTCCGGGGCACAGTATGCTCCTTGTCCTCTGTCTGTCTATGTGCTTGTCCCCCTTGTTCTCTCCAACTCATGCCCTTACTTCTCTCTCTCTCTCTTGCTGTTCTTCTCTCTAGGTGCTTATTTGGACACATGATTCTCTCCGGTTCCTCACTTGCCCTTTCTTGTTCCCTCCAACGTGTATCCTTAATCCCCTCCCCATTGCTGCTGCTGGGGGAAGAATGGATTTCCTGGCCTCTTGTGTTTCTCCCTGCCTTTTTTCCTTTGTTCAGGTCACATTCCCTTACCCTCAGTCTCTACCACGTGTTACCCTACTTACCTTCCTACTTGTCTCCAACTTGTCTCCTTATCCTCTCTCCACTACCGTGCTTCTTTCCAGGTCTCCGGCATTTGGGACGGAGAGGATAGTTTTTCTCCTCTTTCCTTTCTTTCCTTCCTTGTCCCTGTAGTCTTTCCCAGCGCTTTCTTCACTTCTCTCCTCATTCCTGTTGTTCTCGCTTTTGGGACCCAAGATTCCCCTTGTCTCCCATGTGTTCCCATCTGTGTCCTTATTCAGCCAATTTTTTCCTACTTGCTGTTTTGTCTAGGCTTTAGGACCTCTTCATTTCTTTTTGTCCCTCCCTGTTACTGTTCTTCTTCCTGGGTGCTTCTGGGCACAGGATACTCTTCGTGGTGCTCGATGGCAAAGGATTCTTCTTGCCTCCCATTTGTTTCCATACTTGTCTCCTTGTCTGTTCCCAACTTGTCTCCTTACTTCTCTATCTCCATTGCGATTCTTCTCTCTGGGTGCTTTCGGTCAAAGGAATCTCCTTGTCTCCCGTTCCTCACTTCTCTCTCCATTGCTCAGTGTTCTTCGTTCTGGTGGCTTTGGGGACAGGACTCAAGTCCCATCTGTTTTCGTACTCGTCTCTCTACTTCACTCTCACATGTGGCTGTTCTCTCTGGGTGCTTCCGGGGCACAGTATGCTCCTTGTCCTCTGTCTGTCTCCGTGCTTGTCCCCCTTGTTCTCTCCAACTCGTGCCCTTACTTCTCTCTCTCTCTCTCTCTCTCTCTCTCTCTTGCTGTTCTTCTCTCTAGGTGCTTATTTGGACACATGATTCTCTCTGGTTCCTCACTTGTCCTCCCTTGTCCTCCCTTGTTCCCTCCAACGTGTATCCTTAATTCCCTCCTCATTGCTGCTGCTGCTTGGGAAGAATGGATTTCCTGGCCTCTTGTGTTTCTCCTTAACTTTTCTTCCTTTGTTCAGGTCACATTCCCTTACCCTCGGTCTCTACCACATGTTACCCTACTTACCTTCCTACTTGTCTCCAACTTGTCTCCTTATTCTCTCTCCACTACCGCGCTTCTTTCCAGGTCTCCGGCATTTGGGAGGGAGAGGATAGTTTTTCTCCTCTTTCCTTTCTTTCCTTCCTTGTCCCTGTAGTCTTTCCCAGCGCTTTCTTCACTTCTCTCCTCATTCCTGTTGTTCTCGCTTTTGGGACCCAAGATTCCCCTTGTCTCCCATGTGTTCCCATCTGTGTCCTTATTCAGCCAATTTTTTCCTACTTGCTGTGTGGTCTAGGCTTTAGGACCTTCAGGTGGTTTTGGGGGCCATAAACATTACCGAGTCCCTCATTCGTGTCCCTTCCGTCACCGCCTTCTTGCAGTCTCCTCTCTTCATTTCTTTTTGTCCCTCACTGTTACTGTTCTTCTTCCTGGGTGCTTCTGGGCACAGGATACTCTTCGTGGTGCTCGATGGCAAAGGATTCTTCTTGCCTCCCATTTGTTTCCATACTTGTCTCCTTGTCTGTTCCCAACTTGTCTCCTTACTTCTCTATCTCCATTGCGATTCTTCTCTCTGGGTGCTTTCGGTCAAAGGAATCTCCTTGTCTCCCGTTCCTCACTTCTCTCTCCATTGCTCAGTGTTCTTCGTTCTGGTGGCTTTGGGGACAGGACTCAAGTCCCATCTGTTTTCGTACTCGTCTCTCTACTTCACTCTCACATGTGGCTGTTCTCTCTGGGTGCTTCCGGGGCACAGTATGCTCCTTGTCCTCTGTCTGTCTCCGTGCTTGTCCCCCTTGTTCTCTCCAACTCGTGCCCTTACTTCTCTCTCTCTCTCTCTCTCTTTCTCTCTCTCTCTCTCTCTTGCTGTTCTTCTCTCTAGGTGCTTATTTGGACACATGATTCTCTCTGGTTCCTCACTTGTCCTCCCTTGTCCTCCCTTGTTCCCTCCAACGTGTATCCTTAATTCCCTCCTCATTGCTGCTGCTGCTTGGGAAAGAACGGATTTCCTGGCCTCTTGTGTTTCTCCTTAACTTTTCTTCCTTTGTTCAGGTCACATTCCCTTACCCTCGGTCTCTACCACATGTCCCTTACCCTCGGTCTCTACCACATGTTGCCCTACTTACCTTCCTACGTGTCTCCAACTTGTCTCCGTATTCTCTCTCCACTACCGTGCTTCTTTCCAGGTCTCCGGCATTTGGGAGGGAGAGGATAGTTTTTCTCCTCTTTCCTTTCTTTCCTTCCTTGTCCCTGTGGTCTTTCCCAGCGCTTTCTTCACTTCTCTCCTCATTCCTGTTGTTCTCGCTTTTGGGACCCAAGATTCCCCTTGTCTCCCATGTGTTCCCATCTGTGTCCTTCTTCAGCCAATTTTTTCCTACTTGCTGTTTTGTCTAGGCTTTAGGACCTCTTCATTTCTTTTTGTCCCTCCCTGTTACTGTTCTTCTTCCTGGGTGCTTCTGGGCACAGGATACTCTTCGTGGTGCTCGATGGCAAAGGATTCTTCTTGCCTCCCATTTGTTTCCATACTTGTCTCCTTGTCTGTTCCCAACTTGTCTCCTTACTTCTCTATCTCCATTGCGATTCTTCTCTCTGGGTGCTTTCGGTCAAAGGAATCTGCTTGTCTCCCGTTCCTCACTTCTCTCTCCATTGCTCAGTGTTCTTCGTTCTGGTGGCTTTGGGGACAGGACTCAAGTCCCATCTGTTTTCGTACTCGTCTCTCTACTTCACTCTCATATGTGGCTGTTCTCTCTGGGTGCTTCCGGGGCACAGTATGCTCCTAGTCCTCTGTCTGTCTCCGTGCTTGTCCCCCTTGTTCTCTCCAACTCATGCCCTTACTTCTCTCTCTCTCTCTCTCTTGCTGTTCTTCTCTCTAGGTGCTTATTTGGACACATGATTCTCTCCGGTTCCTCACTTGCCCTTTCTTGTTCCCTCCAACGTGTATCCTTAATTCCCTCCTCATTGCTGCTGCTGCTTGGAGAAGAATGGATTTCCTGGCCTCTTGTGTTTCTCCTTAACTTTTCTTCCTTTGTTCAGGTCACATTCCCTTACCCTCGGTCTCTACCACATGTTACCCTACTTACCTTCCTACTTGTCTCCAACTTGTCTCCTTATTCTCTCTCCACTACCGCGCTTCTTTCCAGGTCTCCGGCATTTGGGAGGGAGAGGATAGTTTTTCTCCTCTTTCCTTTCTTTCCTTCCTTGTCCCTGTAGTCTTTCCCAGCGCTTTCTTCACTTCTCTCCTCATTCCTGTTGTTCTCGCTTTTGGGACCCAAGATTCCCCTTGTCTCCCATGTGTTCCCATCTGTGTCCTTATTCAGCCAGTTTTTTCCTACTTACTGTGTGGTCTAGGCTTTAGGACCTTCAGGTGCTTTGGGGCCATAATTGCAGTCTCCTCTCTTCATTTCTTTTTGTCCCTCCCTGTTACTGTTCTTCTTCCTGGGTGCTTCTGGGCACAGGATACTCTTCGTGACTCTTCGTGGTTGCTCGATGGCGAAGGATTCTTCTTGCCTCCCATTGGTTTCCATACTTGTCTCCTTGTCTGTTCCCAACTTGTCTCCTTATTTCTCTATCAAAAAAAAATATGTATTCACTTTTTTTTTTGAATTTTTTGAATTCAAAAAATTCAAAAAATTCAAAAAATTCAAAAAAAAATGAAAGTCCCAAAAAGAAAGAAATGGAATTCAAAAAATTCAAAAAATTCAAAAAAAATTATGTATTCATTTTTTTTTGAATTTTTTGAATTTTTTGAATTCCATTTCTTTCTTTTTGGGACTTTCATTTTTTTTTGATTTTTTTGAATTTTTTGATTTTTTTGAATTTTTTGAATTCAAAAAATTCAAAAAAATCAAAAAATTCAAAAAAAAAAATGAAAGTCCCAAAAAGAAAGAAATGGAATTCAAAAAATTCAAAAAATTCAAAAAAAAATATGTATTCATTTTATTCATTTTTTTTTGAATTTTTTGAATTCCATTTCTTTCTTTTTGGGACTTTCATTTTTTTTTTTGAATTTTTTGAATTTTTTGAATTCAAAAAATTCAAAAAATTCAAAAAAATCAAAAAATTCAAAAAAATCAAAAAAAGTGAATACATATTTTTTTTTGAATTTTTTGATTTTTTTGAATTCAAAAAATTCAAAAAATTCAAAAAAAAATGAAAGTCCCAAAAAGAAAGAAATGGAATTCAAAAAATTCAAAAAAATCAAAAAAAAAATGTATTATTTTTTTTTTGGAATTTTTTGAATTTTTTGAATTCCATTTCTTTCTTTTTGGTATATAGATTAACTAGTAGGGATTCTCCAGAAAGAGGTATAATTTCAATAAAATCCTTTCGACATGCAAACGTTCAAATAGTACATAAAGGTCCATCGTACATATATATATATGCATACATATATATATATGCATACATATATCTATATATAAATATTATATATATATGCATACAGTATACATATATATATATACGTATATATATTCAAGCTAAGATATTATATAAATCATGCCAGCCTTTGGTGGAAGAACCCAAATATCTTCCACTGTTGGGAGGTAAAAGTATGTTTTAATCTTCATCTTGGGCGACAGGACATCTGTGCACATCTCTTGTTCTGTTTGTTCCGCACCTGCAGGAACAATACTGATGTGTGCCACCGTGCGAAACCCTTGTATACCTGACATGAAAACATTGAGCAGGTGCCTGTTTTCAACGTGCAAAACGAGCGCAAAACAGGCCCAAAACTCCAGAACGAATTCAACTAGCGTCTCGCAATATCAGCAAATACACGGAAGGCTGACCAGATGCTCCAAGAGAAACTCGCATGACCTTCAGAAGGTGCATATGAGTGATCATTTGCCAATTGCACATGTTTCCGCATGATGACAAAATGCTCAGAGGCCTCGTTGACCACAGCATGACCAGCCTGGCCAAGAAACTTAAAAATGCATACATCGCTTAGAAGTCACAAAATAAATTGGGACACCCTTGAAATCTAACTGCAGGATATGCTTGATCTGCCTCGTGAAAAGCTGTCACATTCATCTCTGCTGGGGACTGATGTCGCCTCAGGCTCAAATTTACTTCCATGGACTTTCCTTCTGACTTCAAGTCTCTGAGCCACCTGGTTGCTCTTCCACAAGCAGATTGCGCCCACAATCGCTTGAGCTTGACATAGCTTGATACTTCTGGAATCTACAGGAAAGACCCGCCATTCAACCCTCAAAGTCCTGACACTCCGGCTCACTAAGCTCCAGGCCCTGATGGAATACCAATCAAGAGTTTGGTGTAAGCAACCTTCAAGCACGAGATGAATGTACAAATGTACATGGCTTTTTCGAAAGGTCACACATCAAAAAAACTGGCACTGGTCTGGTCTTCCAAATGATCAGAAGCTACACCTGGAGGTGGTGTTCACGAACAGAAGAACAACCTGCAAAGGCACAAGTTTTGCAGAGGGATCTGCCAAACTTTACCAACAGTGTTCTTCTACAAATTCTTGCATTCGCAATTCCGGCCTTCTCGTGCTGCAGCCATGGCTGCCTGTGGCAGCAGAAAAGAAAAAACACAAGCAACTCACATCTGCCAAACTTCAAAGGAAACAGCCTGTTACATGTGCTAGATGCGCTACTTTTGAATGTTCGCCTCATTGATCAGGCCAGCCAAATCTGCACCAGAAAATCCAGTGGTTCTTTTTGCCCAAGCCATCCAATCCTGAGAGCGTACCATTGAAGACAGAAAGCTCAGGCGAAGAGTTGAAGAGCAAACAGCGTACAATGAGCCTCAGTCCTCGTTAAAGGTCCACACAGTTTGCACTGACGAGACGACTGAGAGCCAAGCCGGTGCGGTGGGTGTCTCTGGCCCAACTGAGAAATCAAAGAAAAATGACTCTGGTCCAACACAATTTCAAATTTGCACTGCCCGAAGCAAGATGGCTCAAAGATAGCACAAGCAAAGGTTCTAAGGCCTGTGCTTAGTTTTGAACTTGAGTCCAGAACCAGCCGCTTGGAATGCTTCCTTTCACAGGAGGCAGTGCTGGGCACTAGCGCTTTTCTAAGGATGTCAAGAGTCAAGAGAGGCAGAACATGCTTGTCCTGAGGATTTGATAACGGCCCTCAACATCTGGTAGCGGAACAGTCACCTTCCGATCGAACCTGCCGGAGTGCTTTCCCAGACCAAACCCAAAAGAAGCACACGAAGCACAATGTGAAACTATGTTTTGGATTGTTACTAGACCTTTGTAAGTGTCCTTGGCTTATACTTATTAGGTTAGGTTGGCTGTGCCAAGCCACTCTTGTCGGTCTACAGCTACATTGCCCCTCACGCCGCATGGTTTAACCAACTACAATAAGTGCCATGCCACAACACCCTGAATCGTGCTACACAGAGTAACACACCCACGATTAGAATCACCCGCACTACGACAGGAGTACCACGATGTATCGGAAACATCTGGGACAGTGTTACCATGCCATTCAAACATGTATGCTAGTGTGCTCAGAACCCTCACCAGCACGTTCTGGACGTTGTCATGTACAGTACCCAAGTTCAACCATTGTCCACTCAACACCAAACATTAACATGTCCTGACATTGGCCACATGACACCTCCCTCTCGTGTCACTCGCATCATCATCGGCGTCGTCGTCACCATCATTATCATCATGAGGACCATGCACCGTCTTTAGTACATCGCAACAAGTACAGTAACAACAATCCCTCGGATCACAAGATCAGAACCCTGCCAAACCCTGCCAACTAAGCAACACAATCCTGCCGGTTTCTGTATCCCAGAACGCTTGTGCATAACCTGTATCACCAGCAGGCCAACCATCCGACAGCATCGTTCAAACCTGTGCACCATCTGCGTCCTTTTCTGATCAAATAGATATAGTATGATATAGTGAGCATATGTGAGCATCCCAAGGAACACATCAATACTATTCACTACGGTCAATACCTGATAAGTTGCCTATCAAAACACTTTTGCTATCTTTTGACTGTGCGAAGAAAGTATACGCGTATAAGCCTTATAAGCCTGGCCAAAGCCGGCCAGGGATGATCCTACGTCCTCATTTTGCATCATCATCATACTACAGTGACTACAGTGACTACGTGGTAGTGGTAGTCTATGCAAAGCAAAGGAAACGGCCAAAGAAAAGCATGGTCAATGTAGACAGCTCGTAAGCAAACTGCCGGCACTCCCACCCAAGCACGACTGCACTAGCATTGAAGTCCTGCGAGTCGACTCTATCTTTCTATCAAACATTAATGCAAAATACAAGAAAAATACAACCCAAAATGCAACAATTTTGTCAAGTTTGACGTCTCTAACTTTGAAATTGTCCAAAAGAAAGGGAGACATGCAGTGAGCCAGGCAGTTCCTGAGCGATGTGTCTTCTGGCACCAAGACTAGTCGCTGTGCCGCCTTCTATAAGCAACATACGCTGCCGTGAGAACTCCAAGCAAAACCACAAGGCTAGTTGTAGCAAATCCGGAAAATCTAAAAATGCAACGGAAAATGCAAATGCCAAAAATCACGGAACGGAAAATGCAAAAAAAATGCAACTTCCAACGTTGCATTTTCTCCGTTGCATTTTTTTTGCAACTTGCGACGTTGCATTTTCTCGGTTGCATTTTTTTTGCAACTTTGATCAATTTTTGTATTTTTTTAACGAAAAAAATAACGAAAAACATGGAAAAAAATGCAACGGCACCAAAACAAATGCAACCGAAAATGCGAAAAAAACTGCAACTTCCAACGTTGCATTTTCTGAGTTGCATTTTTTTTGCAACTTGCGACGTCGCATTTTCTTAGCTGGTTTTTTTCCTTTTCGAAACTTGCGACATTGCATTTTCTAATTTGCTTGTATTTGGAAAGCTCCTCCAACAAGCAACACATATAGGGGCTGGCAAACTGAGAAAAATCTCACTCCCAAAAAAATGCTGTGCCAAGACATGGCTTTGAGCCAGCATCACGTATCTTCCACTCATCCGGCAGGGAAAAAAAGGAACTCCACGGTTGCACTTTTTAATTTGTTTTTTTAATACAATTGTATTTTTATGTTGTATTTGTTTCATATTTTTATTGTATTTTTAATTCCTGTCAAGTCACATAGTCTGTACCTGGTGCCACGACTTCAACACTAGCACTACACAAAAATCAAATATTTGTTTGATCTGCTTGATTCTTCACAGAACATCACAAAACTCGGACAATTGATTTGATTCTAATGAAGCGCTTCATTTCTCCACATGGTGGCCTCCCAGGTCGTGTCAGAGCCTGCAAAATGTCAGGGGAGGGCACACTCCGCATCGGCAAAATAAATGGACCAATGAACCAATCGAAAGCGGATTTGCCGCTTTAGGACTTTAGGACTCGGATTTGTTCTTTTGAGCCGATGAATTGTCAAACTGTCTTTTCCATTCTTTTCCCAGCCTTGTCCAAAATGTCAGGCCGATTGGTTGTTCCGATCACGACAACACCGTCAGCAGAACCAAACCTTCGCCATAGAAATACTCCAAGTCAAATCCAATGGTCACATTTTCACGTTGTCGTGGCAAGATGTATAGCAGTGTTTGAGCATTTCAGCGTGTGAAGCGTACCCATCCATCTCTGCCAGCAGCTGGGTCAAGGCCTTGATAGGCAATGGCAAAGGCAAACAGAGTGGAATTTGAATTTGAGTGCGCAAGACTAACACAGGGGAAAAAAACATCAAGACGCAATATTGCTTCGTAGAACCAGTGATGCCCTCTAGCATAAAATCTGTGCCCAGCATTGCAATCAAGATGGGAACAAGGCAGAATTGTTGTATGAACGGACCATAACTATCCATCAGATGAGCACAAGTAAATGCACACACACACACAACGTGGCAGTTTCTCCAAAATCTCCAAAAAGATGCTTCAATATGCTTCAACCGCATTCAAATCATTCAAGAGGATTTGGGGCCACTACCGCTGCTCGGTCTGTTTCAAGCCCTCCACCTCGCTCCTGGCATTCTGTCACTGCAAAGCGCTGAGCCGGCTGAGCCGGCTGACCCCAAACATGATTTCTTAAAAATCCTCAAATGCTGAATCCAAGCACACCAAGCACAGTCAAAGAACTGCCTCCCCTCTTTGGCGGCCCAAGTAGTCCAGCCTTGCTGGCTATGTGTTTTCAGGAATTGCCATGTCACCATACATCCATTATATCCATTCAGCCACGGACAACACCAACACGACGCACATCGCTTATATCACTTATATCACTTATATCACTTATATCAATGCAATCAGAGGCACTCATCGATCAGAATCACTGCTGGTGAAATGCGCCGTGCAGTGGCGAACAGCTCCTGAATCCAGCTGTGATACGGGAGGAAACAGCATGCACATCCGTCTCACACCCTTTGGTTTGCTTGAAACGATCCAGCAAGGGTCAAAGCATGAAGATACTGCAATGCTGGAACTAAGTTGTTGTTTGCATGTTTATATGTTGTTTATATGTTTGGTCTCACCCTCTGAGTTGCTCCAAGAGCATGCAGTGCTTGTTCCGGCCTGCAAACATGTGCGAATGGATAGTGAACCAATAGGGTATTCATTGTTGCGCATTGTTGGCGAGTACCATATCGCGAAATAGATAGCTCACTGACCTAAAAATTGAAGATTGGTTGTTGCATGATGTTCCCAACCAACACACTCTCATCTCCTCGCAAAAAATGAATGCAATCTACACCTACACTTATCAGATGGATTTCTGTGTTTCTATTTACACGTACGTCACATGCGACAGCAAGGAAAATGCATACACAATGTATTAACAAAAATGCGTTAATTCATTGTGCGCAGTATGGACATGAATGCGGCATGTGTACATTCAAGCATGTGTGTGTGTGAATGCACGTCAAAACCATCCAAAAATATGTTCATGTACCTGACCCTAAAGTAACTAATATGTGTGTCACATTTCTCTTTTTTCTTAACAGATTCATGAAACACCAATTCCACAAAACTGGCCGTGACATGCACAAATACAAAGCACAAACTAAACATACACGCTGCGTTTTGACGTGACATCGAAATGAGAAGGTAAAAACAACCTTCAAAAACAGCAGTGTTACTTGCACTGGCACTGAATGAAGATCTGGTTTTGTGCCAGACAAATGCGGATATAATATGTCGATTTTTTGTCACCTCTTTTGTCATAAAGCATCATGAGCTTTCAGCTCAAGTTAGATATGGAGATAAATACAAATGCGCAATTTGATTGATTTAATGTGTATTTATGTGTCTACACATATGTTTGTATGCTGGATGCTGTTGTATGCACACATACGGTGTATGTATAGGTATGCTCGTGTGTACATTATTAGTGTATGTGTATGTCACGCACAGGTCAGCCAGTTTCTCCCAAAAATGGAATAAACTCCGTTGGTGTTCGAAAACACCTTCATGTTTTCAATTTTTTCAAGGGCTTGATTCTGACTTGTGACCCATCCCCGTGGATCTAGGCAGACGCCGGCAGGTGGGTACATGTGCACGCATGTTGCGCACATTCCTCCTGCAAAATCTGCCTGCACCGAAGGTACCGAGGCGTTTCTTGTGTGCTTACATTAGCCGGAAGCAATTGCAATAGCTATTGAGCTGTAGCTTTGGATGGAGGGGGCATTGTTGCTCTAGAATCGTGTGTGTGTGTGTGTGTCTTTTTTTCCAAGTGTTTGAAAAGGCTGTAAAATCCACTAAGCTGCCAAATATACGTACATCCGACATAGGTCCGACATAGGTCCAACATTGCCATAAGATCGGCCCTGTAGGCCCAAAACGGCGTTAACATGGACCATAGCGCCAAGATAGGCTCAAAATAGATCCAATGATAAGACATTGCCTCAACATGCGCTCCAAATCTGCTCCCCTTCACATCAACATGGATCTTTCATCGTTTATCTAGACTTGAATGGAAAAAACTTGCAAAGTTTATAATGGTTTTAAAAACAAAACTGTTTTAAACAAAATACAAACACGTTTTATTGGGATTTAGTCTTTCTGAGAGAGCTCACACGTTCTACTGCGAGCAAGCAAGTGCAGGCGGTTGTCGTCAAAGCGATTACAATATGGTACGTCTGCAATCCAGGCTGATGTAGTCTAGCGCTAGCAATCCTTTCTCAAGCGTCATAATGCATCATACAATGCAATCAGCGCAGTGTGATCCAAAGGAACTTGCCTGCCAGGATAGGTCAGGCTGCGATGTGCATGCATCTACGTATGATGTGTATGTATTATATACTGACTGTATCTACACTGGATGTGTATATATATATATATACACTGTATATATATATTAATATATACTAAAATGGTAAGTTGTACGCATCTTGAACACACATGATCACATGACTGTGATATACACGTACATTTTGTTAACGTCAGTAGACACGTCCACTCAAAACGTGCACATTGTCACAAAAGCACATCTCCGGATCTCGGGAGTACGTATAATACAAGGACCATGTCTCTAGGGACTAAACCGATCCAGGATCACCATGGATCACCTATATCTAGACTCTGATGAATTCACATTCTTACTCCACTCCAAGCAAATGACAGATAAACGATAGACAGATAGATAGACAGACAGAAAGGTGGATACATTGATTGATTGGTTGAGTAGCCCTGTCCTTAACCATAGTTGTTCCCGCGCCAGCATATCTCTGGTTGAAGTCAGCTCCTTGAATGCACGATGGCATGACAGGCTAGGGCAAAGAATGGCAGAATCTTCCAAAAGAATAACATGTGTTACAGTATGGCAGATTTTTGATAATGTCACAATGTCACAGTGTCACATTGTCTGTTTCACAAGATTTATTACCAAGTCTTCGGCCTGACCGTGACAGAAATGGAACAGCAGCAGTAGCTGCAATCGCCTTTGCAAGAAGCCTGGCTCCAGCATGACGAACTGGGAAATCAGAAGAGATGAAATAAAGGTTCCAAACATGTGAATGCAAATACCGAAAACAATTTGATGATGATGATGATGATGCTGGTGGTGGTGGTGGTAATGCGGAAGCAGATCAAATGTAAATGTAGTAGATGTGGATGTGGATGTGTGTCCAGTCACATAGGGCAAAGCCACAGAAAAATGTATATAAAGTAATATGAAATCATGAAAGCATCGTTAAAGAGTCAAAGGTCTGCAACATCTTTGCAGTGAGCAAGCTCGTCAGAGGGGCGTCTTGCCACAACCAGGCGGCCCAGTGAGAAGCAAACCCTTGGGGCAGTGCGCACCCAAGCTTGCAAACCTGGAGCACCAAATTCAACGAAGAGAAATAGAAGAGAGTTAGCATTGAAAGGACGAGAACAACCCTGGCCTCTATACCTCAAAATTATTATATATGTGACTTATATGTGTTTATTTTTTTTCATGGTTTTGCACCAGATTCAGCGGACTGAAATTCGTTGTTTCAAGTGGTGCATCATTGTCATTATCACTGTTATAAACTCTGTTATATAACATTACTAACATTCTTACTACTACTATGTCTGTTGTTACTACTATATATTATATATTTACTACTATTCCTACCACAATGAGTCAATCATTCAATAAACTCTTCACTGTACGCACAACCTTGCCTGGCTGGAGCCATCAAACACTCCACAATTTCCAGGGCTTCTGTCTTTGCCGACCCAATTCCCGCAACATCCTGCAGGCAAAATCTGTCCAGTGCAGCATTGGCATTGGTCAGCATGGGCAAAACGGCAAAATGGACAAGTCTCCTCCAAAGCCACATTTGGAACGCCAATATCACTGGTTTCTTTAAGTTCTCTTTCTCTGGCGGCCATCAACCTTCGCTGGAAACCGCGCCAAATCCAGGCCTGAGAAGGTTGCATCAGCGGAAGTATCAATTTGCAAGTTTTTGAACGCTCATAAACCAATCACACTTGTTCATTCCCACGTTTCAGAAACAGACCTTGAAATGCCTTGCAAATACATTGTATTAAAATGTATTAAATACTTAAATTGACTTAAATATATACATATTTTCTGAATCTGAAGCTTCACTGTTTGGCAACACCAAGGCTGTCAGCACGACGTTTTCACTGGATTTCACGGAGCAGTATTTGCGCGGACGGTTCAACTGGTTCAACAATCCAAATGTTTACATTACAGATACTGACAGATACACTCAAAAAATCCTGCCTGCCAGAAATAATCGATGAATGGCTGGAAGGGTTCAAGCCAAGGTTGAACAACCTCTTGGAACTCAGCGTACTTCTTGTCAGCGTGTTTTCCCACATCTCTCAGCCAGGTCCTTTCCTCTTTGTCATTCCAGTTTTTGGCAGCTTTGACCACCTGCGATATTCGCGGGTAAGTTTTTGCTACCACACACATGCCCAAACAACTGCCACAAACAGTTTGTAAGGTTTTCTTCACGGGACTTCGTCGCAAAGAAGCAAGTTCCTGTCGACTTCTGGCAGCTGCCTTTTTTGCAAGGAGAATCCGTCGCAAATGTCGCAATCTGCGAATGCGCGCTTCAAGTACGAGCAATTGTGCAAGCTCAGGTGGGGGACCTGTTGTCTCAACTTCAACCGGGGAAATTGATTGGTTCACCAAGTGTGAACCATCAGGCCCCTGGTTTGCCAGTTCTCTGATCACCCGTTGGTTTTTGCGCATGTTTGTAAACTGATTCAGTATTCTAATGAGTCGTCGCCGCTGAAACTGTCTTATTCGAAGTTCCATATCCACCTGGAAAATTGACGCATGTCCAACATCGTCCAGTTGTTGCTCCATCGAATCCACATGGTTCGTGTGATTTTCTTGGTTGACTTTCGTCGGGTGGACGGACCAAATCACAGAAGCCGTGGCCGCTCCAAACCAAATTGTTTTGGCAACAAAAATTGAAGCGATGACGGCTAAGACTCGCCCATGAATGATGTGTCGTTTCGAGACATCTTGGCAAGTGATGCCTGGCGACCACCGACCCATCTCAAATGGCCCAATAAAGCAAACCAATTTGTAAACAAACTAAGTTCCAAAATTGTAAAACTACAAACCATTTTGCATGGTTGAATGCGTCTAAACTACAAAATTGTTGTACCAATCACGTTGATCCAAACCATTTTACAACAATGAAATCCCTGAAATTTGTTTGCAACAAAGAACCCTCCGTTTCTGTTATATGATATGTCTTCATTGAAAAACATTGAACGTTATTGCCATTACTTTATGCAGTGTGTTCACCACTGCCTGTGTGTGTGTAGGTAAACTGGAGTTCAAAGGATAAACAATTTGCCATTTGTCAATTTGGATTGCAATAGAGTAAACTGTTTCAATCACGATTTTTTAACTATTCACTTTGGATTGGACATCATCCTTGTTTTCATGACAATTCCCACAGCAAGTACTTTTCAGTTTTGTTCGTCAACAAAACCCATTTGCCAGTCAATGTTTGAACAACCAACCCGAGGCGTTTCAGCTAAATTGAACCTTCAGTGGCTGGCGCAATTCAGTTGCATGAAAGCACAGTGCTACGAAAATGACATAAACAAAAACACGATCGAATAAATGCAAAAACGAAGTAGAATAAATATGAACAAGTTGATATGCAAATCAACAATGCTCACAACAAAGAGAAAACACTTAGTTTGCATGCAGTTGCAAAATAATTTTCATGTGGATGATTTCAAGTTTTGGTGCGGTTCACCTTGTATAAAATCAAATCAAATTGAATCAAAGATGTAAGTCAAGATAGGTGCTTGATATCCAGCTATAAGATGGGTACGCTACGCTTGGTACGCTTGGTACGCTTGGTACGCTTGGTACGCTTGGTACGCTTGGTACGCTTGGTACGCTTGGTACGCTTGGTACGCTTGGTACGCTTGGTACGCTTGGTACGCTTGGTACGCTTGGTACGCTTGGTACGCTTGGTACGCTTGGTACGGTTGGTACTATTTGTACGCTTGGTACGGTACGGTCGGTACGGTTGGTACGCGGTTAGTTGAAGTACGCTTGGCACGCTTTGTGTGGTGCGGTTGGTGCGTTCAGCGCGGGATGGTTGGTACAGTTGGTACGGTTGGTACAGTACAAGTGGTACGCTTGGCACGCTTGTACAGTACAGTTGGTACGCTTTTGGTGCTGTTGTTGCGCTTGGTGCGGTACAGTTGGTATGTTTGCAGCGGTATGATTGGCACGCTTGGTTGAAGTACGGTGACATTGGCACAGTACGCTTAATACCTTGGCGCCCTTGGCGTGCATCATTTTTTTGCACACTTGCTACGCATAGCGTGGCACACTAGGCACTTTTGGTAAATTTGGAAATAAGCACGTGGTACGGGCGAGCACGGTAGGCGTATATAATTTTTTGGGTTTGGACTTGGGTTTGGCCGGGCCAAATGTAAACATAGCGTGTCGCGAAGTCGACCATACCGAACATATGGTTCTTCAAATATATAGGTGCGCGGAAAAAATCATGATGCAAAAAAACACTCTGCTCACCAATCGAAACCAAGCGCCAATCTAGAATTCCTATTTTCTGAAAAACAGGCAACGTGCTCACACCTCAGATTTTCCACTGCACTTTGAGCCACTTGTTGGGCCACGAGCAAGCACAGATTTGTGCGTGTCATCCTTGCACCAAGAGACAGGTCATGCTAATCTTCTCTGTTTCGTTTCAACTGCCTACAACCTAACACATGGGTGTGAGTGCCATGACTGAAGTTTGACACCCCACCTTGGCAACATGTTCCTTTGAAACCTGTTGTCATCTTTGAAACTTCTATGCAAGCTTTGACTGCATTTATAGTCAACTGTACTTCTAAATTCATCTTTTATCCTAGGTTCCAAGGCCGCTGAAATTAAATTTGTCTCTCACTTGGTTGAATTCGTTCGCCTGGGCTGTAGCAAACATTCCATTGCCTCATGCTTTGATTGTCTGCCACATGCCTTCAAGCTATGTCACGTAGGGCTTCGATCTCCTGCGTCGCTCGTGTGAATGTCGCAGCAGCTTCCCAATCTCCTTGTTCTTCAGCTTGAGCTCGTCGGCTCTGCAATGAAGCCAGCGCATTCTGAAGTCGAAGTTGGTTGGCCTGAGAAAAGGCCAGCATTCGGTCATGATCATATTCATCTCTATCTCCAAAGTGGATTGCCGCCCACTCATCTGGGTCGGAAACCTCTCCTTGATCTGACTCCAAAATAGCGTCTCCTGCGATCTTCTTGGGTTTCTTCATCCATATTGATGTCCTCGTCCAATTCAGACTCACGAGCTGCACGATCAACTTGATGACCATTGAGATTTGCTACATGTTGCAACGCAGCTTCAGCTAGATCCACATTCTCAAAGAGTTGAGGTTCAGGTTGGGCTTCCACATATGGTTCCTCCAATGCTGCAAGCGCTGCAACTGGAAACTGGCCACCAGTCAGATATTCGTCCAGACTTTCGTAGATACCCTCCATGTCGGTCATGAAGTCACCTTGCTGATTGGATTCCCTGAACCTGTCATGTAAATAACAGATCTCTCGACGAAGCATCCACCAGGCTAGCCACAAACTTGGTTTGATTAGCAATCGAAACCTGCAAGCCATCAATGCCGGAGCATGGCGAATTGTCACCATCCGCATCCATTCGTAGTGCTTCCGAATCAAAGGTCCTGATAGGAGAAATACCACTCCAGCAACCAATGAAAACATTCCCATGATCTGCGCCACCAGGAAGACAAACTTCATGAAGTAGCATGTGCAGCCGGTACTTGTAGCAACTGTCCATTCTGCCAGTGTCCACAAAACCAGTTGCACGCCATCGCTGTCGGGCTCGTCCATGTCTCCACCTGTCACAGATCCATGATGGAAAGAGAAGTCACTGTTGCAACCTTTCAACTGCATGCACATGTTCATGCTTGCACCAGCCATTTGAATGAGTCTCATGCATTGCTCCATGGTAACCCTATTGATTCTTCTGATACGTCTGATCTCGTTGTCATCGTTTGTTTCACTGTCGCTTGGAGAAAAGAGTCCAATGAGTCTTCCCAAGAACTTTCTGCGTTCTCCACTGAGACGTTTTGTGTTGAGATCTCCAGGGTTGATTTTGGTACTGATTTTGAAAACTGAAAATACACCAGTCCGCAGCAAATTTTGCAAATAAAACTGCTTGATCTGGATGTGTTTCAATCTCCCTGTTCCAGTTCTTCGGATCAATGCTAATGCCGAAGACGAATCCATGAAAAGCTTCTGTTGCACCACCTCATTGCTTGTCTCATTTTCATCACCAGCTAGGAATTTGCACAAACGGAATAAAAGGATGCATTCCACCATCAATCCATTTGCAGCGTAAAGTTCAGCTTCACAGCTTGAAAGTGCCACTGAAGCCTGAGTCCTGCATATGCTCGTAAGCAGGGCTCCATTCAAGAAAATGAGGCCAGAGCTTGTGCTCCGTCTCGTTGTTCGGCAATCAGCCCATGAGCTGTCACTGAAAGCTTCCAGAGTAAAACGACCTTCTGTTGACCATTCTGGGATTGTTGTTTCATTTTGGATCAGGTCGTCATTCCTCCAGAAATCACTCAAGGTCTTTCCTTCCTCTGTTGCTTTCAGAAGGATTCCACTGTCAGGCGTCCCATCAAGATAGGAAGTCAGGTGTTTCAGTGCTGCCATTGCCTTTGTGCTTGGTTTCGACATGTATGATGACAGAGTCTTTACTGCAAATTGGATATCCGGTCTGTCCATCGCAATGTACAATACCAACCCAAGACCAGATCGAAATAATGCAGCCTGCTCGTTGTCCAATGTCTCTGATTCAATCACAAAGTCAGCACTGTAAGCTTCCAATGTTGCATGGTATGGGAGGCCCTTCTTGCGTCTTGCGCTTACCTTCATCATTGAAACCAGCTTTGGAACATACATTGCATTTGGCTGTATGAGGATTCCATCATTTCTCATAGTGATCCTCTTTTTCAAATACATGAGTTGCTCTCCACTGGCCGGCAAATGGGGCCCATCGACTTTCATCTTCAATGTAGCTCCAATTGTGCTTTTGAACCATTCTACATCACCTGGCAAACATGCTAGGAGAATGTCGTCCACATGGATATTCACAAAGATCTTCTTGTTCAAGTCCTTGTGTCGCATCACTGTTGGTGATCCAGGGAATGATACCAATCCTGCGCTTTCACATATGGAGGCAAAGTGTTGATGCCATTTCAATGCTGCATTTCGTTGGCCTGGAAGACAACGAAGCAAACGCCAGTGAGTATCAGGTTTACCTGATAAATCACGAACCCACTGAGGAATCTCAACATACATCTCATCTGTTTGAGGCACCATCAAAAATGCATCCGAAATGTCAAGTGAAGTCACCGAGAGGTTGTAAATCAACGCAAAGACCAGCAACATCCTCACTGCAGAAAAAGCTGATGTAGGGACAAAGTTGTTTTCGTCAGTGGCTGAAGTTTTGAATTCTCGAGCCACCACTCGGCACCTTCTGATCCAAGCATTGCCTCTGAAACGCCAATCAAATACCAACGTTGTATCAACTGTATTTTCTTGCGAAGCCTCTTCTGGAGAAAGAGTAACAGGTCTGATGACCACCATGCGATGTAACTTTTCAAGTTCATCAAGGATTGCACGTTCATCAAGCTCTTGGAGTTTCTCTGGGCTCACATCTGGTGGGCCTTCTCCTTCACTATGTTGTGCTATGTACTCATCCTCAAGGTCAATATATTGAAAACCATTCTCCAGATCACCTGTGAAGTCATCCATCTCATCGTTGTGACAAATCTCAATGTCTGCCACTTGGTTCACCTTGCTTTCAAACTTGGCCGCTTTGCTCTTTGGAACAATGGCTGCATCGTCATCCATTCTCTGCATCTTGGCACGCTCGTCAGTGAAAGGAGTGCTGGAGGGATGTTTGCAAGAACCAGATGGAATTTCCACATCTTCATCACTATCTGCAACAGGAGTGACTGGGGCTTTCAACATGCTTGGTGACACAGCCCCACCTTGCTC